AGGGCCAGTGCAGATGGGGAGATACAAACCTGGATAATCCATGGAGGTGGCAGAGATAAAAAGGAGCCCTGCAGCATGAAAAACAAGCACCACACTTTTCACGTGGCTTAATGTAGTGAGAAATAACAACTGGGTCTACAGGAAGGCAAGGGGAGATTTTTGGAGGTCTGTAAGCTGCCTAGTTGCCAGTCGGTGGCTGATGGAACTGCACGATATCCTCCAGACACACAAATCTTAAAATCAATCATGTCATTTCTTAGAAGCAGTGAAACTATTCATCGTCTTTCCGTAAAATTTATTAATGAATTATGAAATGACTGAATTGTTCCAGTGGAAACTCTAAAGGCTAACTAGCAATAACAGACACAACCCTTATGGCAGGATAGGTCATTTCCCTGGAGAGCTGCACATGAAGCTCTCTTCCCCACTCAAATAATTAAATATTAAGAGCCAGGCCAACCTGCCTCACTCCATCAGAAAAATGGAATTTTCTCCATGATTCAGTTGAGATTCCCTTGATGGAGAGGGAGGAAACCCCACAGTGGATGGGTCCTACGGCCAACACGGAGTCCCAGGTTGGTCTCGGTCTCCTTGGGAGCTTGAGTACATTGGAATTGTGATGACAAAGAGTCACCTGCCCTCTGCCATCTCTAGGGTGAATGTCTCTGCACCACCACCCCCAGGATCCCTACCACATGGGGGTCTCGAGGAGTCCTTTGGGGCTCCAGGGGCAAGGGGTCTTTCCCATAGAAAGAGGGATGATTTCATCCAAGAGCCTCAGACTTCAGTAAATGGATTATTTAGTATCATTTTTATCTAAGCAATTCAATTATTTTGGCATTTGTAGTTATTAAATAAGTGACCCAATTACCAAGAAGAAGCGGTACTAAATTAAACAATTGGTATTAAATATAAATTTCTAACTGTGCATCAGCGGTAAAAATTCATTTCGCATTTCTTAGCACTTTAATGACTTGCTTGGAACAATTAATCTTTCTCAGTGATAGCAGTTAAAAACAGCAGAGACAGCCTGCACTCTGAGGCTGAGACACTAATCCTCTTAACTTCAGTGCTGAATAATGCATAAAAGGTATCAGTGAATAAGAAATAATTCCGTGTGAAAACTAGCCAATTAAAATAAATAAATAAATAAATGAAACCCACAACAATAAAAACGTTGGACAATGTAAATTTGTGACCACAGGCATGAAAAAGAATGGGAAGCCACTGGATTGATGTTTCCCTATGGACTCATTTGGAGTATTGCAGTAAATCTAGAATAGGGGCAGTAGGAGGGGAGCGGGATGGATGATCTCAACTGGTGGAAATTTCAGACTGAAGAAGCTGAGTCCTGTGATTCCCACTTGCCTCACGCTGCAGCTGGATTTGATTGATTAATTTTTTACAGGAATGTGGTAGAATGGAGGATTACCAGATTCTCAGAAGTGAAAAAAAAAAAAAAAGTGTGAAAGTTGGTGCAACTTTGATGTGACTCGAGCATGGGATATTTAGTGCCTGTTCCTTACTCTCTTCAGCAGATACGTGCCCGAGCCCTCTAGTACTTACAAAAGAAGGTCTGTGTGTAGGAAAATGTGCTCTTTCTGAGGCTGGTCTGTGACCCAGCTGAGTGCAAGCCACAGGAGGGATTAACCAGCAGCTGTGCCTGCGTGGCAGGTTCAGCACACAGTGTGCTTAAGGGCAGAAGTTCAGGTATCAGAAAGGATCAAGTGTGAGCCAGGATGTCCAAAACCTTCCCTGGTCTTGTGTGTTTGCCCTGAGTGGAGAGAATCATTCATCTTAAACACAGCGATAACCTGCTGGTTTTGCTTTATCTCCTCATCTGATTAATTTGCAGTGGCATTGAAGATTTTTAAATGAGTCCTGCCTGGAAAAATATCACAGAATCGCAGAATCTTCATGCTTGGAAGGGACCTCTGAGACCATTGAGTCCACACAAAAAAAACCCCAAAAAACCCCCAAACCACTCAACACCTAAACAAAAAAAACAACACCCCATCACCGCAACACTCACCATACCCAACAATCTCAGGCACTAGAGCATGCCCTGAAGTGCCACGTCTACACGTTTCTGAAATCCCTCCAGGGATGGTGACTCCACCACCTCCCTGGGCAGGCTGTTCCAGGGCCTGACCACCCTCTCAGCAAAGTCATTCTTCCTCAGATCTCATCTAAACCTCCCCTGCCCCAACTTCAGACCATTTCCCCTGCTCCTGTCATTATTCCCTTGGGGGAAGAGACCGACCCCCACCTCTCTACACCCTCCTTTCAGGGAGTTGCAGAGGGCAATGAGGTCTCCCCTCAGCCTCCTCTTCTCCAGATATGTGAAGATCATCTTATTTTGCTGTAACTGGCATATTCTAGTTTAAAAAAAAAAAAAAGCCCCTTGGTTCAGGAACCCTTATTTAGCTGGTGGCACATCATCCTAAGCATTAACTGCAAAGGGGAAAAGGAGTAAATGCATCTTAAGTCTATGAAATGTGTCTTAAGTTCTTGTGCTATACCAATTCCCTGAGCTGACCTCTGTCATTACAAAGCAGCCCCAAGACAATTCCTGAAGAGATCAAGTATTCTGTTTTGGCCCAGCACCTTTTGATTTAAGGGTGAAAGTTTGTACCCTCTTAACACCAGGATTTCCTTTGTACTTGTTCTCCCTCTTTCCTACACCATTCCCCCCCAAAACCCAAAGTCTGAGGAACAGCTATCTACTATCAGCTTTTTCAGCATCTTTTTTCCTATCCTACCCACCATTTTTATATTAAGAAGTGTGTATCACTTCATTTATTTCCCTGTTGTACCTGGACTGTGTGTTTTGGGGTTGCATGGTGGAATAGCTACTGAGTAGGTCAGGCCTGCTCTTCTAGACATTCAGGTTTCAAATGAATTCTCTTCTTCCACTCCTGAACATCTTTTCGTGCAGAAAATAGAAATAACCGATGCTATTCCTAAATTCAGCCACTGAACAGTTAAATCTGAAGATCACAGTAGAGATACTTTCAAGACAGCACAGATGTGCTTCAGCAAACAGACTTTGGCTGGGGAAAAATGTGTTGGTTTTTTTAAAAAAAGAAGTTAATGATAGGTAACAAAATTAGCAGTGTTGTTCAGATTTTGCAAAGAAGTTGAAATAAAGTTGTCATTTTAAAAGTACCAATTCTGACCTGACTCTTGGCACGTTAGGCAAGATCAGTTTGGTTTCACTGGATTCAGAACCGTATTCAACATCTAATGTGTTTGTGCTCTATCAAAACGGAAAGGCAAACCACAATGCCTTCACTGAGGGCAGTAATTTATTCACTGGGGTCAAACTGATCTCACTGAAGATAGATTTAGGCTCTTTCTCATAATATTATTGAAGCTACTTTACATTTAAGCCAGCTCATCTGCGTATGACAGAGTGATAACCATCAGTAGTCCCTGCTCTTGTTTCACCTGTGGTGGCAAGAGCTCCAGAGTTGTTTGATGCAGTTTGGCTTAGCCAACTTCTCTGTAGACACCACCCCCTGCAAGCTCCACATACTTCTAAACCTACTGGATGAACATACAAGATAATCATTCTTCATAAACCCAGGTCCCTTATGGCACTCTCCCCAAGCTCAGGCATTTCTTGTCCCTTGACACTGCCTCTGCTCTTGCCAGTCCTTTGCTTCAGGTCATCATCGTTATTGTGGGCACAAGAATAACAAGCTCAACTGTTCTCATTTCACACATGAAAAGCTCTTGTGACTTAAATGTCTTTGCCACAGCTGGAATACTGCATCCAGTTCTGGGCCCCCAGAGGGACAGGGAACTACTGGAGAGAGTCCAACATAGGGCAACAAAGCTGATGGAGGGATTGGAGCATCTCCCTGATGAGGAAAGGCTCAAGGAGCTGGGACTCTTTAGCCTGGACAAGCGAAGACTGAGGGGAGACCTTATTTATGTTTATAAGTATCTAAAGGGTGGGTTGAAGGATGTTGGAGCCGGACTCTTTTCAGTGGTTTCCAGCGATAGGACAAGGGGCAACGGGCTCAAGCTGGAACATGGGAAGTTCCATTCAAATATGAGGAAAAACTTCTTTGGGGTGAGGGTGGCAGAGCCCTGGCAGAGGCTGCCCAGGGAGGGTGTGGAGTCCCCTTCTCTGGAGATCTTCAAGCCCCGCCTGGATGCTCCTGAGTGATGTGCTCTGGGCAGCCCTGCTTTGGCAGGGGAGTTGGACCAGATGATCTCTAGAGGTCCCTTCCAACTCTGACAATTCCGTGATTCCATGAAAACAAGGAAGCGGAGAAATTCTGAGATAAGTGCAGGGGAGTTGGACTGGATGGTCTCTAGAGGTCCCTTCCAACTCTGACAATTCCATGATTCTGTGAAAACAAGGAAGCGGAGAAATCCTGAGATATATTCTACCTGTGTCTGACCTCCCCCATTCTGGGGAGCACTTTTCACGAGTGTAGACCTCTAAATTTTCTCCAGAGTCCATTTTTCTAGCCATCAATTCCATAAATCTCTGCCGTTTTAACCGTGCCACCCTGGAAATGCCTCCTCTTCCCTACAGGTTAGCATAGTACTCGTTACAGATAAGGTAGGAAACTATTCTCTAGGGTGGAAGAGCTTAGAATAACCAAAGGCAGGTTGCTCTTTGGTTCTCTTTCCCATTACAGTCTTTCAGTTGGGTATTACGTGTCTTTAGTGGGCAGGGCTACCCTCTGAGTTGTTATTTGTGCTCAGATATGTTTAGTTCAGAATAGAAAATGGAATCCCTAATCCGATAGAAACTTTTTTTTTCTGCTTATAAATATGGGTTGATACTTCTGTGAGGGACACTTCTCATTAACCTGGGGGAGCTGAGTGAAAAGAAAGGTTTTGTTTCAGCTCTTGAAAACAATATTCTGAACACGCCAGAGGGAATAGACTAGTGGGTACATGTGGGTCCAAATAAAGATATTTAGCAGCTGTTTCTTGTAGTTTGCAATTATATTTCCCTCCTCCTGTCTAATTAACAGGGATGCAAGATGCCTCAAAGAAGCTTACGGAGTCTCTTCACGAAGTCTACGAGCCAGATTGGTACGGGCGAGAAGATGTGAAAATGATTGGAGAGGTAAGATATGTGGAAAGGGGAAACAGTATTTTGGTTGCAAATGGATTCATCTGAGCTGTCGAGGAGAAGTATATATCGAAATGTCCCTTAATTCTTTATTGCATGTTAAATCCTGTTTTCTGGGCATCGTTATTATTGGTCTTGTGAAATGCACCTCCTGCTGAGCAGATGCTGCATTTGAGATGTCTGTTTTACAAACCAGCTGATGTAAGCTCCCCCTGAGATTAGTGTCAGTGTGAGTGGAATCAGGCCTGATAGCAACTGCTTGACAAGTTGGTAGAAGGTATCCTACGTGTGGTTTTTCCAGTCGGGATTCTCAATTCAATCGAGTGTTAAAAATCCTCAAATCTGCTTATCCTTGTGTGCTGTGTAACAACTATTGAGCCAGTGGCACTGAAGAGGGTATCTGATGGGACACTAACCTCTCTCTGACAAGAATCTGGAATTAAAGGGCAAATTAGGCTGCAGGGCAATATTCATTTTAGCATTTTTGGCTTCCTCCAGTGATCAAAGAAGAATAAGTATGTCTAGGGGACACTGCAGGAATTTGACTTGAGGCTGCTCTGAAATGCCTGCTTAAACAGCCTTAATTCTAGGAGAAGTCTGTCAGCAAATGAGCTGGTGGTGTTATCAGTGCAGCTTTTAAGCACCTGACATTCGTTTTCCAAGGCCTCCTGGATAAGATAATTAACAAGGAACTGGCAGGCAGAGCAGTCTTCCCAAATCTGTGTCATGATTGCTTTTCTTCTCTATGGCTGCCGCCTTCTGCCCTTCCCTGCTGCTGAAGCCATGACGTGGTTTTGATTTTTAAAAGCACCCAGTTTCCAAAGTGTAGAAGTTAAGATGCCATACTGTTTATATTGTTTATATTTGTTAAACAGCTGGAAGATCTCCTGCTGCATCTTGCTGTAGCACCTCATCTTGTATCTGTATTCTATTGGATTTTACACTCGGAAATTTGTAATTGTGTGTGGAAGGACCAAAATTTGGCGTTATTTGATATAGGGATAAATGTTAGATGTGTCTTCTTAATAAGAGACTCATGGGCAATATTACAAAATCTCTGCTCCTGACTTTTTTCTCTATATAATCACAAATGTACATTTATGCATCCCTCAACCTGCCCTAAAAAGGAATTATCTATTTGTTCAGTCCAGGGTATAAATGATCATTCCAAACCGGATCCACCTAAATTACCTTATTCTTTATAGCAGGAAAGATGATGGTTTAAAGGGCTCTTCTGTAATGTTTTTTGAGCCCGTGGGCTTTCAGAGAACCTCTGTGATTTTAATTTGTCCAAAATTTGTATCAGCAAGATACAAAGGCAAATGCCCAAGACTGGTTGTTGCTTCCTATGATCTAACGCTGTGCCGCTCTGTAGACCACTGTGATTAAATATTGTGTTAATAAATGAGGTATTTCTTTTAACCATGATTAATAGATTGTAATAATTCATTAGGGACTCCCTTAGGGTAGGAAATGAATGAACTGAGTGCTGGCATCACACAGCATTTATAATATGCCCTATAGTAGCTCATGATAAATCAAACACTGGGGAATAGCTTTCCAGGGTTGCCGGTGAGGATAACAGCCCTGCAGAGCAGTGCTCACCCCCTTTACCCTCCCTCCCAGCAAAGAAGGGGGTTCAGTGATTTTTTGAAATGTGCAAAGAAATGGGGGATCAGGATATTTAATGTGTGCTAATGACTTGCTCAGTTGAGAACCCGGGACCTCAAGCACTATGTCTCTATGTAACTGGATTTGCTTCTGGCAAGGAATCTCACCCTGCTCCCCACGGGGCCCTTGTCACACCAGCTGCGGTAACATGTTGTTGAAAAACGAAAAGCTCTAAGGAGTGTCTCTTGGTGAATGCCCAGGGCTGCGAAGGGAAGTTCTGCAAAGCTTCTGAGGGGGTGGATTTTGCTTATTTTGCCTCTGATGTTGGCACGTTTCATATCTGGCATCCTGGTTCTCAAGCAGTGCGAGGTAGAGTTCTTGTCTGTGCAACGGTCATTTTATCAAATGGACCTTAATGGCACAAAAAATATGAGATGGAAAGACCTGTTTTTTAGGGTGAGTCTCCACAGCTTTTATTTTAAAAACGACCAAGCAAAGCTAAACTTACAAACCCTCGTAAATGATGGGAAATAAGCTTTGTTTTTTCCTTCATTTTATTTACTCCTCTATTTTTGGTTGTCCTTCTTTTCTCTGTAAGGAAGGTTCATCATCACTGAACATAGGCATAAGAACTAGGGCAACTTCAGATTCTGCATTGTTGACCCTCAGGGACCTGCAATCCTGAGGAAGCCCTTGAATCTGTGATATCCTTATTTTCACAGTTACTATTTGAAAGAATGAAAACACAAGCTAGTTATTGTGCTAAATCTTCTTTTGTGAATTTAAAACTTGCAATATCAAGATAATCTTTTCCATTTACCTTGTAAGTACACTTTGTTTTATTGCTCGGAAGAACATTTTAAAACTTCAGGAAGATTAATCTTTACCAATTACATTTGTATTTCTCCTAGGTTTGGAGTGGAATTAAACAACTAAGCGCATTTTTCTCTTTTCCACCTTTACAGAAATGTGATGAACTTTGGGAAGACTTCCATCAAAAACTGGTGGATGGCTCGTTGTTGACCTTGGACACATATCTAGGACAATTTCCTGATATCAAAGTACAGTAATGATTTCCTATAAAGGACAATTTTTAAAATTAGCGTTGAGTCATAAAATAAATACAAAATTAGATTACAGGCAAAGAAAAATCAAAAAGGAGGGAAGGTGGAAGTCATTCTCTTTTGCAATGTAAAAGATGTTGTTCTGTAAGTAAATCCCTGACATGAGGCTGCACTGATTTTCTAGGTGAACAAAAATATTTTGCAGGCAGTAGTACTTGGAAATAAATTAGCCGTTGTAGATAAAATTTTTTATGTTTTTTTCCTGGTCTTGTTTATTTGGTATGAGATCATTCTCACCAGCTTCAAGAGGGACACATTAAGCTCTTCAGCTGTTAAAATGCCAGACAAATTAGAATGAAAAGAAGTCTTTTTGGTTTTGGCTAGATGCACCTGTGGGTATCTAAGTATCTTTCTCTTGACTAAGCCACGGTTCCTGTCTTTTAATTAATTATAAAAAGATTTTTTTAATAGACATCAGGAGAGACTGTTGTGCAGAGTCTAGCCTCTCCCAGGAGCTTTGTCTGGTGCAGGGTCCAGGGAGATGGTTACTAAATGAAATGTGTGGGGATAAAGAATCATAACAGGTGAGAGGTAGATACTTGCACGTTTGAATGTGACTGTGTGGACATAGCTAGAAGTTCTTTGTGATGGTTTATAACTGAGTCATGCAGTCATCCCCTTTGGCATTTATCTCGAGGACTAAAGGAAAAATAATTAAAAAAATCCCAATATTACTGATGTTCAGTCTCAAACTTGTAAATCAAACTGTCCTTACGCTCTCTCAGCATGTGGAATTTATGTGTAATATATAGCTTTGCAAAGTCAGTGCATATCAGAGGACTTTTATTTAGTTTTAAAAGAATTATATCAGGTAAATTAGCATTCCTATTGTATGTTGAGCACCAGTTATCGTAGTTATGTGTCAGAGCAACTATACTAAAAAGTCTATTTGAAGCATTTTTCCAACTCTAGAAAAAAATTACGTTAATTATTTATTAAATTTGCAGACCAATATAAGGGAAAAGATGGTGTTACCATGAGTTTAAAAGGTCCATTTATTCTGGAGAACGAGACAAGGCTTGCATAACAGTGGTATCTCAATTCCAAGGCCCATAAGCCCTATGTCCACAAAAAACCCTTCCAAACAATCTGTAAATGAATTCCTTATTGAAAATAAGGTGATTAGTTTGTCTCTTTTAGCATGTTCATGTTCCTGCATGATGCAGTAATTCAGATATGAACATCAGATTAGGGAGAATAAAAGTATGTCAAAAAACTTAAATGACAACGTAGGTAAAATAGCTTTTAAAAAAGTGCTGTTTATGCTGATTTTCCTTTCTACCCCTGTACAGACTCGCATTGCAAAACGAAGCAGGAAGCTAGTGGACTACGACAGTGCAAGGCATCATCTAGAAGCCCTGCAGAGCTCCAAAAGAAAAGATGAAGGCAGAATTACCAAGGTAGCACAACGGGAAGGATGGTGGCAGAAGATTTTGGGGGCTCTGGTGGCATTTGTTTTTGTGCAGAGACAGAGCACAAAGTTTGTTTCTCTTCTTTTTCCTCTCCCAGAAATGGAAATAATGATAGCCTTAAGCATAAATATGTATTGAGCATTGTGGTGCATGTGGAGGACGTGCTGGGCCTCTCTCAGGAATGCGTCCTGTTTGAGCCCTAACTTTCTCTTTCAATGAGACTGAGGGAACTGCCAGTCCTGTGTGGGGCTAACACATCCTTTGTTAATAAAAATTTTAAAAGACCCACCAAAAAAAACCCGCACAAAACCAATTTCAGCAGGTTTTCCTATGCCGTAGTGATTGCAGAATTCACTCTGTTTCATTTTGGTTTAGGCAGAAGAAGAATTTCAAAAAGCACAGAAAGTGTTTGAAGAGTTTAACACTGATTTACAAGAGGAGTTGCCATCTCTGTGGTCACGGTAAGCCCAGGCAGATACTGTCTGGAAGGCCTAAAGGGGGAGTTTGGAAAGGGAACCAGGGCATTTTAATGAGCTGATAGAAAATGGTTTGATGGCTCCTTGAAGATCCCATCCATTATCTTTTTTAAATAATGAAAGGCAAAATGCCTGCAAATAATCCAAAATTATACTTACTATAAGTGTATTATGCTTATGTCTTTCAGTGTATCCTGGCACTTAAGATTTGTTATCATATCTTCATTCTGAGGTGCAAAAGGTCTCCATTTTATGGGTACATAACTGTGTCAGAGCACAGAACATGCCTACAAACCACTGCTTCCATAACCTTTCTCAGATACCTTGGGGGTGGATACCTGATCCTTTCAAAGAAAAAAAAAATCCAATTGGTAATAAATAGGATCAGATATTTCCACTGTCAAAAGTAATTGTACAGAGCGACCACATGTTTTTCTAGATTTGTAACGAGTCCACTTACAGGTCATTTTTCTGTAAAAGGTATTGAAACAAAGAAACCTTACAAATGTATACAGATTTTATGGCAGTTGTTGTTTCTGTGTTCCCATAAGGACTACCCAAATGGTACAAGAAGGGACAAACAACATTATAACTAGATCAGCGTACACATTTTGTAGTTTTGCACTGAATACATCTGCGATGGAAAAGCCTTTGATGGCATAGATCATTCATTCGAGAAGTTTAATCATGAATTGTGCTTATATAGAAAATATAAGACAAAATGAACAGGAGAACAAAAGCAGTAGAAAAATAAGCATCTCATTAGTGTGCCGTGTTCTTTGACAAATGGCAGTCTGGAGTGGAAATGTGTTGTGAGTCACTGAAGTATCATTTGTCTGCTTTGCCTTCTAAATTAATTCCTGTTAAATTTCATCTCAATGGAGGCTTCTCCTGCTGTGTTTCTGCCTATTTCAGTTGAAAAGCCTCTACAAGTTCAAGGTATTTATTTTATGGGCTTACTTAAAGTAAAAGTGCATATGAAGGATTGAGAGTAAGGGCCCTTTTATTTCAATATGTGTGCTGCCCACTAACTAGTCTCAGGGAAAGGCAGAATTTCATTTGAGCAATAGGCATAATTTAGAAAGTAATTGCTTTCAGAGTCCTCTTTTTTTTAAGTTATTACAACTCTTCAGGGAGTAAAGAATCCATTGAGTTGACATTTTGCAGTCTTATTCTCATGCAAAAGATGATTTTATTATTTTTTTTTTAATAAAAGTTTGGAGAAACTACACATGGAAGTTTTAAATAGGGAAAAGAGTAATTAAAAACCTAAGAAAACCCCCTTACTTTTGAAGTGTACAAGAGGTATTTAATCACTCACCCCAAGCAAGCAGATTTTCGATGACGTGCAAAATTGCCTAGTCTGTATTAGAAATTATTTTCTCTTCTATACGTGTGCATGTATTTCAGGGCTGATTTCTTTAAGGAGGGCTGAGCATGAGACACTCACCTCCAGGTCTCCAGAGGTGCCTGCATCACCCAGGTGCTGCCCTGCTGTCTGGTGGGACACAGGGTGCCCAGAGCACCTTGTCTTCCCTGCGCTGGTCCCATACTCATAAAACAACCCTTTTCTGATCTTCCCCTTCTCTAAAACAAGCTACAGCCCCCCCTGCTATGGAGTAATCTCAACTCGGTTCACCCTGTGCAGCGTGAAGTGTGACAGTTCTTAACACAAACAGAAATCATCAAGAACAAACTATGTCTGAAATTGTGACATTCGGTCCAATTATTTGCTTTGCTGAGAGTAATAGTCAAGAACGTTGCTTGTAGTCTGGGGAAAAAAGTATGAATTTGCCTTTGTGGCGCTCCCACCCCTATCTTTTATTCTCTCTTTCCTTTCTTTGTGCCATCCTCTGTAGACGAGTTGGCTTCTATGTGAACACCTTCAAAAATGTATCCAGCCTCGAAGCCAAGTTTCACAAGGAAATAGCTGTAGTGAGTAAAAACGAATATCTCATGTATAATGGGTCGTGTGATACGCGTAACAGCAAGCGTCTCGTAATGTAAAAGCCTCACAGAGGTACACATGAGAATTTGCCCTAGGTCCAGATGTCTAGTGTAACCCTTGTATTCATTTCTACATGCCTTTTTTTGCACTCTCCTTAAGGGAAGGGCAGCCCATACAATTTGGGATTACGGGGCATTATCAGCTGTAGCACTAAATTCACGTTCTGTTTTGATGACTTCTCCATTCTTTATAGTGTGCTCTTGCCTTTAGTATGTTTTCCGTGTCCGATGGCTGGGCATCGCGTTGATGGTTGGACAAGATGATCTTTAAGGTCCCTTCCAACCTAGAAGATTCTGTGATCACATTGCTTTAATCACTACAACAAAAACATGTCAAGCATTCCCCTCAAGACTGCGATACACGCTGTCGGCAATGCAACGTTCTATCTGTGACTGTAAGGCAAATCGAGCAGTTTCCATCTTTTGCCATGTACCTTGGTAAAAAGTAGTGTATTATCTATAATAGGAACTCAAATTGTTTGGAAAACTTGCTTGACTGAAGTCCCACATAAATTCGGATTAGCCTTTTGAGGGGGAAACATGAGTCTTCTTGGCTACCCATGTTGCTTTAAACATTAGGTGTCCTCCTTCATTGGGGAAAAGGCAGCAGTCAGTCACACTTAGAAACTTGTTCTCTGAAAACCAGCTTATGTTTTTGAAGAACTGCTGTTATCTTTGATTCTGTGGATTTTCACTGAATTTTTAGAGTTGGAAGGGACCATAGAGATCATCTAGTCCAAACTCTATTTTGATAGGTTTCCACTTAGGCTCTTGATATATGTGGCACAGAGTATTTTTCGAAGGATTTATATGCCATTTTAAAGTTATCAGATTTTATATTATCAGGCCGTATTTATCACTTGTGTTTTTAATCATTACTCTAGTGCTTCATGTAAACTCAGGCAAGTGTTTTGTTTCCTCAGCTATGTCACAAACTTTATGAAGTGATGACGAAGCTGGGAGATCAGCACGCAGACAAGGCCTTCACCATCCAAGGGGCACCAAGGTGAATTTACTGCTTTTTTTAATTAATTGCATTGCCATAGGCTTTGTGGGTTCCAGCACATGTAAACACCTACACCATGTGTAGTGATGGCTGCACAACCCCATCACTGGGTCTTCTCATTCAGGATGATGGATGAAGGTACCTTGGTTGGAATTCTTATCGACATGAGTATAGATGAAAACTTCCTTCATCACCCACTTATTTTTCCTTTCAAAGAAAAAAAAAAGAATAAGGGCCAAATTCTCAGCTGTTGCAATTTAGCCTAGTTCATTCTAGACATGCACCAGCTAAGTATATAGCTTATTTATTCTTAGAGGCTTACTGTAGAGCAATGTTGCTAACTCTTATATTTTTTTTTTAAAGCCTTGAAATGTTTAGATGTGTTTTTAGCTCCTAAAGGCATATGATTTAAGTGAGGATCCCAACCTTTGTAAGTCAGCTTTTCTCTCTTCTGCTCATGGGCGAAAAGTCAAGAAATGTGATCCGAGAGCCCATCACAAAAGCTGAAGTAAAAAGAATGTCACAAAATACCATATTTTTAATTACTTTAAAAACGAAAGCAGAAAAAGTTCAAAATCAGATGGTGCTTTCTTAAGGTCAGTGCATGCCAGTGCAGTATTTTGGACTTTTTGCTTGCAACAAATTTAGCCTTTCTGCCATAATTTGATTTCTCAGTACTGTAATAGTCATAGCCAGCAGAGTCTGAAATTATAAAACAGTGAGACTTAGCAAAACACAATGGTATTTAGTGTCACAAAATACCATATTTTTAATTACTTTCAAGAGAAATCTTGTCTTAAAAACAAAAGCAGAAAAAGTTCAAAATCAGATGGTGCTTTCTTAAGGTCAGTGCATGCCAGTGCAGTATTTTGGACTTTTTGCTTGCAACAAATTTAGCCTTTCTGCCATAATTTGATTTCTCAGTACTGTAATAGTCATAGCCAGCAGAGTCTGAAATTATAAAACAGTGAGACTTAGCAAAACACAATGGTATTTAGAGTGAATACATGAATCTTGAATTTCCAGCTTATCAGAAGCAATCAGAACAACGTTATAGTTACTGCTAATTTGCCCTCAAGTTGGACTCAGATTAGCCATAATTAAGACTGACTGAACAACATAACATCTGCCTCAAACGTATGGCTGATATTTCTACATTTGTTTTGATCTCACTTTGGAAGAACAAAGAACAAAATATTGAACCTTCTGACTTAGTGTGAAATTCAGAACTACTTTACTATGAACATGTTCAAAAATCTTGTTTTGGATTAGTTCAGTGTTAATCCATGTTCCTCTATACTTACACACTGCTTCAGGAGTTGTGAGCTCATGCATCACCACTTCCCAGCCCTTTAGGATGGACTCACGAGCTGGACTATGTTTCCATAAAGGATTTGTAGGGGCCCTTTAGGATGGACTCACGAGCTGGACTAAAGGATTTGTAGGAATGAAAAATAATGTAGTGTTGGAAAACTTCAAGCATTTTTCCTAATAAACAGATACTAGTAAACAGTCCACCTGTGTCTCCTAGACCATATCCAGCATGCACATGCTCATTCCCACTGAATTACTCCTACTATCAATGAGAGAAAAAAATAATAATTATTGCTGGAGATCAGTAGACATAGATAATGTGGTGTCATCTTAACTTTTTTTTTTTAAATTGCTTTTTAAAATTATTTTATTTTAGTTACCATGTTACTTTTTTTTACTGTACAGAGCTGGATGAAAAATAATGTAGTGTTGGAAAACTTCAAGCATTTTTCCTAATAAACAGATACTAGTAAACAGTCCACCTGTGTCTCCTAGACCATATCCAGCATGCACATGCTCATTCCCACTGAATTACTCCTACTATCAATGAGAGAAAAAAATAATAATTATTGCTGGAGATCAGTAGACATAGATAATGTGGTGTCATCTTAACTTTTTTTTTTTAAATTGCTTTTTAAAATTATTTTATTTTAGTTACCATGTTACTTTTTTTTACTGTACAGAGCTTTGTGTGAAAACCTGGATAGATTTTGACTTCGGTTATTAGTTCAGATGCTCTAAAATACTACTCAGGAGTGGGTGTTTGTAAGATAAAACAGCTTTCCTTGTTAGATGCATGAGAAGTAGATGGTAGATAAATGCAGTATCTAATCAGTCCTTTCAAGAACTGTGTAAAAAGAAACATCTTAAAAACTTGTATGCTACTCAGTACTCTGCTTTGTGTGAAAACCTGGATAGATTTTGACTTCGGTTATTAGTTCAGATGCTCTAAAATACTACTCAGGAGTGGGTTTTTGTAAGATAAAACAGCTTTCCTTTTTAGATGCATGAGAAGTAGATGGTAGATAAATGCAGTATCTAATCATTCCTTTCAAGAACTGTGTAAAAAGAAACATCTTAAAAAAACTTGTATGCTACTGAATACTCTATCCTGAAGGCAAATATTGTACCTGGGAAAGAAATTTCTTAATAATTGCTTATTTTTTCTTTTTTTTTTTAATATTTCCACAGAAAGAGGTGGTGAGTGTGAGCTAAGTGTGTCCTTTGCAAAGAACGAATTATTCTCGTGTTGGCATTAGGAACCTGTTTATGGTGTGGTCTCCTCGATCAGTTAGCGCTTCTGTTCTCCCTGGAGATGTGTAGGAGTGGCTCTTCTCTTACAGAGTGCTGTGGCTGTCGAGTGCTGTAGTTTGTAGCCTCCCTGAGTTGTTAAGCTTTCAGCATTTCTAGGTAGCTGAATATGTCTTGGCATTTGCACCAGGTCCTTTTTGGTAATATTTCCACAGAAAGAGGTGGTGAGTGTGAGCTAAGTGTGTCCTTTGCAAAGAACGAATTATTCTCGTGTTGGCATTAGGAACCTGTTTATGGTGTGGTCTCCTCGATCAGTTAGCGCTTCTGTTCTCCCTGGAGATGTGTAGGAGTGGCTCTTCTCTTACAGAGTGCTGTGGCTGTCGAGTGCTGTAGTTTGTAGCCTCCCTGAGTTGTTAAGCTTTCAGCATTTCTAGGTAGCTGAATATGTCTTGGCATTTGCACCAGGTCCTTTTTGGGGGAAGGGCAAATCCTTTCTCAGAACTTCATCAGATCTTTCCTTAGTATCGGCAGAGCTCTGTTGAAGTCACTTGGCTACTGCTTGTTTATAGTTGTGGTGAGTTGTCCCTCTAAATAGTGATTTCTTTCTAATAACCTTGGTTGTGTTTTGCTTTATTGAAGCCTCTCTGAAATTGCTGAGCTTTCAAAATTCCTTGCGTTATTCATGGTTATGCCTTCCCCTGGGGTTTTTGTCTTTAGAGCCTTTTATTCTGACAACTGTGTGAAATGAAGACAATCATTCTGTCTCACGTTTTATGATAGTTATAAACGTATATGTAAAGCCTCATTTCAAATACTGAATCTGAAAAAAATGCAGGTGCTTGGTTTCCTACAAGTTATATACTGAGGGTTATATATATATACTGAGGGATATGGTGTAGGGGAGGACTTGTACAGTAGGGTAGATGGTTGGACTCGATGATCCCAAGGGTCTCTTCCAACCTGAAATATTCTATGATTCTATAATGATTAGGTAAACAGATGTTCCAAAAATGAAGGCCACTCAAAATCAAAGCTTCCTTCGACACTGTAGATCACAGAATTTTAATTGAATTTAATTGCAGTTTTGGTTCTAGTCGCTATATAATGGCTCAGTTTGTCCCCAGTGTGTGCTGCCTTTTGTGGTCACTGGTGTTACATCAGGGGTGCAGGTCAACTATTGCATCAAATTGTCAAGGTGGTAAGTCAGCACGATATGTATGTCCTTGCCATCCCTTTGCTTCTCTTTAGTGATTCAGGTCCTCTCCGCATTGCAAAAACGCCGTCACCACCAGAGGAGGTCTCTCCACTGCCCAGCCCTACTGCTAGTCCCAACCACATGCTGGCACCAGCATCTCCAGCACCAGCCCGACCTAAGTCACCCACACAGGTAAGCAGAAACCCAGCAGGAGAAACTGGCCTGTCATGCAGTAACAGGTAGCTGAGATGATGTACATGGTGGATTTTTCATCTAGGCTGTGACTGAGAGGTGACAGGAAAGCCACTGGCTCTGTCACACTCTGTTCTGTTCATTGGTTGGTCATCCCTGTGTCACAAGCGTGGGTGGAATGTGGTTTTTATATAAGGGGGAATGAAGAAAATTTAAGATGACCTGTGAACTGGGGGGACTTGTGGTGACAAAGCAAAGCACTCCTTGAAAAGTTGCATAGTCTGTAAGGAGCCATATCCCAGCAGTGATAGTTTGAAAAACCTATTTCTAAACCCTCCTTGTGAATTTCAGTAATTATGTATTTCTGCTCTTCATTCACCTTCAAATTCATGCTTACCCTGCAAAAAAATTAGCCAGTGAGTATCACTGGTCTGGCCAACCTCTAAAACAGTAAATAATAGAGCTAGCTTAAATACTGATGTGAACATTACTGAGAATTAAAGACTTGATTGTTGTTATTAATGATAAACATTTCGTTATTACCTTCAAATAACTCTCAATATTCTTAATAAATGTTATTAATAGGAATATTCTCAGTGTTATTAACACTGGATCGAGAAGTTTGACACTGTTGGAATCAAACCCCAATATACTCACCAGTATCGGTGAAATAAGAATCAGTTTCATCTGTGGCAGGAGAGTTGTATGTGACACTTGGTGAACACATCAAGTGAAGACTTGTGTTGGAGTTACTGATGTTTTCAGAATTGGGATCGAGTCCTAGGTCAATTTTTGCTCTTTGTACACACACAGAAGAGTCGACTGAAGATGGCTTTTCCCTTGGAGGTTGCCCAGAATTGGGATTGCTATTTCTCTGGTGGGAGCACATCAGAAGGAATATTTTTTTGTGTTTAGTTATACATGAACACGCTTGTTTTCTCTGGTTTCCCAAAATGTGACACCTCACTGCCTGAATATTCATCTGATAGGACTCAGCTTAGTCCTACTGGTGCCAATGGTGTTGGGTCACTATACCACCTAAAGGGGTTTTGTGGATTTTATTTTTTTTTACTTGGTATTTTGACAGATTTTAAAATCACCCAATAGTATTTGGCGTTATTTCAAGCAATTAGTTTGTCACAGTTATGTGAATCTCTGGAGAGGAGGGGGAATTAGTAACCTAAGCACCTTTGAGGTGCTGTGGTTCCCAGAGATGATGTGGTCTTAGCTTTAAGTAGGCTTTAAAAGTAGCGACAGGTGGGCAGGCACAAAATCCCAAAGCTAAACAGAAATGAACTTAAGAAGCCAAAAAGCTGCAGAAGCCTGGTTCTGTGCAATATCACCCTACAGCTGTGGGCTGCATAGGAGAGGAGCCGTCCTGAACGGTGTGGCTGTCACAGCAGGAAAAAAAATAATCAGCTAAGAAATGCTTTAAACCCTGAGTTGGAACGAGTTTGAAACATAGAATTGTTTTGTTTTTCCCCACAAAGTTTATTTCAGGGTGCTTGGTGGTGAACAACCAAACCAGTTCCTTTCAACCTATGGCTTATTGCCATGTTTGAAGTGAAGCAGCAGAGATAAAAACCTAACACAAGTTGTTCAGGCCTAGCTTGAAGTTCTTTCTTTTATCCCTGGACTAGTCTGTGACATATTTGCTGTCTGCCTAGCTGAGGAAAGGCCCGCCAGTCCCACCGCTGCCCAAGCTCACACCCACGAAGGAGTTGCAACAGGAGAACATCATTAACTTCTTCGATGACAACTTTGTCCCAGAAATAAATGTGACGACCCCATCACAGGTAAGCTCCAGAGCATGGTGGATGGGGCCAACCATGCAATCGCCCTAAATTCTCTGAGATGGTGGCCCTTTGGCTGATCTCTGTGGGGAGGGAGGAGGCCCGTGCAGGTAGAAGACAGAGGCACAATTGCCAGTTTATGTTGTCTTGAAAGGGTCACACGTACAGTATTTTATCGTTGAATAGATCTTTGAAATCACTCAAAAGGGCTAACGTTGCTAACATATTGAAAATAAAAGAGAGATTTCCTGAAAGGCCTAACCAAAAATACTGCGAAGCAGCCATGTTTGAGGTTTCACTGCATCCAGGCTGCATTACAAGCTGAGAGTTCATCTAAGGTGCTTTTTTTCCTAATCCTAAGCATTTCAAGTGACATTTTACAGTGATACTTCATTGCTTCTGTTTCTTCCATCAAAATAATAAAAAGTATTCATTTTTTTCTTTTGAGTGATTTTTAAAAAAATGGAACTTGGCTGTTTTAATCAACTTTTTGCAGGTATAAAAGGCCGCTCCAGCTACATTAGTCATTCACTTGGCTCATAGAAACATTACATAGCAGAGAAGTGATCAAAATTACTTTTATCTCATTATTATGAAATTTTTAAAAATTGTATATAACAAACAGGAAAGCCACAGTTGTGTAAAAATAAGTTTGTATAATTTGTATTCAGTTATTCCAGGTTTTATGGTGACTGGTGGTTGTTCAATAATGGGCCCTTTCTATTATCCTAATTACAGCTCTGAAATCCGGGCCTGTGTCTGATAGACTGGGGAGAAATATGCAGATCTGAAGCTTATGCAGAATGTTTATGAATTTTTCTTTTCATGTGAATTACTGTTTTTGTACTAATTCATTTGACAACACAGGAGGATGCAGGCACAGCAATGGAAAACAAAGTTATTTTAGAGAATTCGAACATGTGATGTTTGCTTTTCTTGTGGAGGGGAGAACAAGGCACTGCTGTCCATAGGGATCTATTTGGAAGAGAAAAGAGTTATTTATAGTTAAGTCCCCATGCAATTAAAGAATTAATGGCAGCTCCCAGTGTGAAGCCACTGCTGGGCCTTCCTGCTGAAGGGAGATTGCAGGTCTGTTGCATCATGGTACCCTGACTTCACGGGAGTTATCACTCTGGCAACGTGAGCCTTCACATCAGTGGTAAGAGTCAGCATAACGTGTGCTAGATGTGCTAGCTTTAAATACTTTAAATGCTGTATTCACCCTACCCTCACCTCTCAGGCTAGCCAGGGTAGCAGGAATGGAACCAGGTTGCCTTTTCCATTAAGAGCTGATACTGCAATGGGACTTTAAATGAGTGTAAGTCACATTTCCAGAACCTTTACATCCTTTCTACAAGAGATTGTTAGAAAAATGGAGTGGCATAATAGAGGTGGGGCATGCTCCTGAGAATGAAATCTTTCCTTTGTCTCTCAAGGAAAAACTGATTTCCTTTCAGTGAGTTATTTATGTCCCTCCCTCCTCCACAGTTAATGACCTGGGAACGACCCAAGCTATTCCCTGGCCACCTTCTCATGAATCATCTGCACTTCTCCCTCCACAAACCTCCCTCCTCCACAGTTAATGACCTGGGAAAGACCCATCCCCATGATTAAAGCATCCTTAATGTATCTGAGATACCTGAGTATGTACAGGCATACACAAATGGTATGATGTGTAGGTTTTATACCCTTCTATAAGAGAACCAGTTATTGAAAATGTGTTGCGTGAAATCCACAGGAAACAAGGACTTATTCTTCTTGGTGTTTATGGCATCTCCTGCACTCCCAGAGCCCTTGTTGGGCAGTATGGAGGAAACTATGGAGCTGCAGAAAGCTGCAGAGCTTTCTAATTACAGAATTATGGAATGGTTCAGGGTGGAAGGGACCTTAAATATCATGGAGTTCCATCCCCCCTGCCCTGGGCAGGGACACCTCCCACCAGACCAGGTTGCTCCAAGCCCCATCCAGCCTGGCCTTGAACCCCTCCAGGGATGGGGCAGCCACAGCTTCTCTGGGCAACCTGTTCCAGTGTCTCACCACCCTCACAGGAAAGAATTTCTTACAAATATCTAATCTAAATCTCCCCTCTTTCAATTTAAAACCGTTATCCCTCATCTTGTCACCACACTCCCTGATGAGTCCTTCCCCATCTCTCCTGTAGCCCCTTCAGGTACTGGCAGGCCAATTTAAGGTCTCCCTGAAGCCTTCTCTTCTCCAGGCCAAACAACCTACATGGTGTGGGACTTCCCAGAGGACCACTGCAGGTGTCCCTGGCACTGTCCTCACGCAGAGGCACAAAACCAATAGGCTGATGAAAAGAGCTTTGATGCTTTAATCCCATGTCTCGGAGAGGATTACAAACAGGCCCAACACTTCTCTTGAACGCAAAAAACCCTGTAATTGTTGTTGTCCATCTTTCTTTACTGAGCAGTACTAATGCACTCCGTGCTGTGCAAGATGCTGAAAGACAGTTCTGCTTGATGCTGTTGGCCATTTTGGCCCTGATTCAACGAAGCAGCTCACTCTTCTAGTTTATTCATTGTCATGAAGGGATTTAATTACTGCTAAGTGAAAGAAAGATGTGAGAAGATGTGATAGCCAGGCGACAGGATGAAAGGATCGTTTAAAAACGAGTGTTTTCTTGCTTTATTTCTTGTTTCCTTGACATCGCGTTGCTCCCTAGTGTCCAGTTACTACCTTGGACATTGTAGGCCTTTATAATCTGCTGCCTCCGGGTGCTTAATGTGTCTGAGTGTGTCTGACAGCTCTGAAGGGAACAGCCCACATCTGCTATGGCTGTTTGAAGGCTTGTACAGGCTGCGTGCAGAGAGGGGGTGGCAGTTCTGGTTGTCCTTGCAGGTTTCTTGTGCCTTTTACATCCCTTGTGCATCTGTGTCCTCCGAGAGGTATGGCCTCTGATGCCGAATTTGCCCCAAAAAGCGAAATAGAAACTGCAGTCTCAGAAAATAGAAACTGCTCAGAAAATAGAAACTGCTCAGAGACTAAGTTTTCAAGTCCATAAGCAGGAGGTATTTATTAACAACGCGTTGGGGAACTCTCCAGGCCGCCCTGGACAAAGAGTTCCGTCCGTTAGCAATCAGTGCAGCTTTTTTATACAAGTTTGAGTGTAGGTTACATAATCTTTACATGCATATTCATATTTTACATGCATATTCATATATAGGCGGAGTCTTCCATCTTGGGTATTCATCTGGTGGGAGTTCCGGTGCCTTCATCAGGGTGGGGGATTGTCTTGTGAGTCTTCCTCAGGTTAAACTTCTGAACTCTTCCTAATTTGGGTAGCTTCTTGGTGTACTTGGCAAGGTCGGAGTGACCTTGGTTCATCCTAAAATTGCTGAAGCCACTACTTCATGTTCTGGTGTTCCTTCCTATCAACTCGTTCTGTTCTCTCAGACAATTTATTACCTTCGTGATTTGGTAAGATCCAGCAAATATAGCCTGACTGACCACAAACGGGGCCTGCAACTACTCAGAGCTATGACAAGAGAGGATGCAGGAATGTAGGGAGTAGTCCTGAGACCAGCACACTGATGTCTTGAAGCAGCAAAACAGTATTGTCGACCTTGTTAGGAGATAGGGGATTTAAAGAAGGAACCCAGCTTACATTTTAACTCCTTATTTCTCGAAGACTGTTTCCTTTTGAGCGGTTTCACCTCCCTTCTGCCACAGCCACCTCTTTTAAATTTGGAGTTTGTTTGTGCTTCATCATACTATGGTGGAATTAACTCAGGATGATTGGCAGGCCTACCTGTCTCAGCTTTGTCACGTATTGAGGGATTTCCTGAGGTTCCTGTTTCTCCTAAGTCTTCATCTAACTTGATATCTCAGTTACTCTGTATGTGTATTTGGGCCTTTGTTCCTAAGGTGTCTTCATTTTGGTCTGAGGGGAGGGTAACAGGTAATGTCAGTGGTCAGTACCCTGTCACTACAGACACCTCAGCTGTCATCATGCACGGAGGAAGTGAGGCTCCTGTTCATTTGATTCAGTCCTCATAAATCACAGAATCACAGAATCTTCTAGGTTGGAAGGGACCTTAAAGATCATCTTGTCCAACCGTCAACCTGACTGACAAAAATAGACACCCACACAACAAAAAAGGAGCATCATCACTAAACCATACCTCCCAGCACTTCATCCTCAAACCCTGCTGAAAATTAATTAACTTCTCCATCTCCGTTCATTTCTGCTTATGTGCTAGCTAATGCTGTGTTGTTTCATCAAGCTGCATGGCCATACGAGTTCTTCATGCCTCAAGGGCGTATGTGATGAAATCTAAAGAGCTGAGATGAAGGGCATGGTGGAATGAGTGTAATGCTGGTTACTGGTGGGAAAGGGTTGTTTTGGTTTTGACTTTTTAAAGTGTAAGACCATAACAAAGGCTTCAGTGTGTCAGACCAGTTATCTGTCATCACCGGTGACCAAAAGCAGAGACCAAGGGAGGAATATAAAACAAGGCAAGCAAAGTTGGTGCTCCTTACACCCCTTTCTCCTGTGGTCTCCCAGCCTCTAGCCATTTGCAGCTCAGGGGCTTCCTCAACATGATTTCTACCTGTTTAGTAATCCACAACAGGCTACTTTGCCACAAATTTGTTCAGTCTTTCAGCACACATACATTTCTCACATTCACACTACCCAATGGCAAGGAGGTCCCCAGCTGAACTCTGTGCCACATGGAGCGGCCAAACCCCTGAACCTCTCAGGCTGGTGTAGACCCCGCTCACATCACCCCTAGCATTCCTCATCCAGACTGAAGACTTCCAGGTCACTCTGTCATTCCTGGCATGGGAGCTGAGGAGCTATTTGGGCCACATTCTTAGGTGACACAGAGAGCTTGGATGTCTTGTGACATGCAGAGGCCCCATCCCTGGAGGTGTTCAAGGCCAGGCTGGATGGAGCTTTGAGCAACCTGGACTAGTGGAAGGTGTCCCTGCCCAGGGCAGGGTATTGGAACTAGATGGTCTTTCAGATCCCTTCCAAACCCAACTATTCTATGATTATATCTGGAAGCCATTAATTACCTACCTTTGAACATCTCTTTACCAGTAGTAACACCAATTTGGAAAGTTTACACTCTTAAATGTTTTAATAATAGAAAGGCTTTGTTTATTTTACTATTATCATCATCATCATCATCATCATCATTATTATTATTTGCTAGTTATGCTGTTCTTATGACTGCTCTGTTGTTGTAGCCTTCCCCTAGCTTACGCTTTGGTCACAGTCAGGAACAGGAGATTGGACTATGTGATCTGACCCTGTCTTACAGTTCTTACATAAGATTGCATATGAATGTATGTGTACAAATAATTTCCCATGGCACTGTTTCCAATCTGAACACTTTTCAAAATAGTATTCTAATGAATACTTTACTGCCTACATACTCTGTACATCAAGAGAGACGCTTCTCTCCTTACTTAATAAACACTGAACAGCTAGCAGTAGGCAGCATTAGCCTTGTTTCCAAACCCAAGATGCTTGCCTAGAATATTTATCATTAGTTATAATTAAATCTTAGCTACAGTTTCACGCTAATAATAATTAGCATGCTTCAACATGAAATTATTTGTTGTTGTTGCTTTACAGTGGGAAAGACCTTTAGTCCATTGAACCAATATATATCGTAGAATCGTTGAATGGTTTAGGTTGGAGGGGACCTTAAAGATCATGGAGTTCCAACCCTCTGCCATGGGCAGGGGCACCTCCCGCTAGACCAGGTTGCTCAAAGCCCTATCCAACCTGATCTTGAACACTTCCAGGGATGGGGCCTCAACAACTTCCCTGGGCAACCTCTTCCAGTGTCTCACCACCCTGATAGTGAAAAATTTCTTCCTGATATCTAGTCTAAATCTACCCTCTTCCAGTTTGAAGTCATTACCCCTTGCCTTATCACTACATGCCCTTATAAAAAGTCCCTCTCCAGCTTTCTTGTAGGCCCCCTTCAGATACTGGAAGGCTGCTATAAAGTCTCCCCAGAGCCTTCTTTTCTCCAGGCTGAACAACCCCAACTCCCTCAGCCTGTCTTAATAGGAGAGGTGCTCCAGACCTCTGATCATCTTCCCCTCTAGATAAGGAAATTGAGTGTGCCCTCAGTAAGTTTGCAGGTGTCACCAAACTGGGTGGGAGTGTTGATCTGCTTGAGGGTCAGAAGGCTCTACAGAGGGACCTGGACAGGTTGGATCCATGGGCCAAGGCCAATGGGATGAGATTTAATTAAGCCAAGTGCTGGGTCCTGCATTTCGGTCACAACAACCCCAGGCAATGGTACAGGCTCGGGGAGGAGTAGCTGGAGCTGCCCAGCAGAAAAGGCCCTGGGGGTGTTGGTGGACAGCCGGCTGAACAGGAGCCAGCAGTGTGCCCAGGTGGCCAAGAAAGCCAACAGCATCCAGACCTGTGTCAGGACCAGCGTGGCCAGCAGGAGCAGGGCAGTGATGGTGCCTCTGGACTGGGCACTGGTGAGGCCTCACCTCGAGGGCTGGGTTCAGTTCTGGGCCCCTCACCACAGGAAGGACATTGAGGGGCTGGAGCGTGTCCAGAGGAGAGCCACCAAGCTGGGGAGGGGTCTGGAGAACAAGCCCTACGAGGAGAGGCTGAGGGAACTGGGCATGTTTAGTTTGGAGAAGAGGAGGCTGAGGGGAGACCTCCTTGCCCTCTACAGCTCCCTGAAAGGAGGGTGTAGAGAGGTGGGGGTTGGCCTCTTCTCCCAAGGGAATAATGGCAGGAGCAGAGGAAATGGTCTGAAGTTGGGGCAGGGGAGGTCTAGATTAGATAATCGGGAGAATGACTTTGCTGAGAGGGTGGTCAGGCCCTGGAACAGCCTGCCCAGGGAGGTGGTGGAGTCACCATCCCTGGAAGTATTTCAGAAATGTGTAGACGTGGCACTTGAGGGCATGCTCTAGTGCCCAAGATTGTTGGGTTGTGTCTGTTTGTGGGTGGGTGTGGTGTGGAGGTTTTTGGGGGGTTTTTTTGTTGTTTTTTTTTGAGGTTGGACTTGATGATCTCAAAGGTCTCTTCCAACCGTGAATATTCTGTGATTCTATGATTCTCTGGACCCCTTCCAACAGGTCCATGTCTTTCCTGTGCTGAGGACTCCAAAGCTGGACTCAATATTGCAGGTGGTGTCTCACCAGGGTGGAGTAGAGGGGCAGAATCACCTCCCTGGACCTGCTGGCCACCCTTCTTTTAATGCAGCCCAGGATGGGGTTGGCTTTCTGGGCGGAGTGTTCAGCACTGGCTCATGTTGAGCTTCTCATCAACCAACACCCCCAAGTCCTTCTCCTCAGGGCTGCTCTCAGTCCGTTCTCTGCCCAGCCTGTATTTGTGCTTGGGATTGCCATATATTTGTAGTGACCTCAGAGACCTTGGCTAATTCATTAATTGCAAACAAAAAAAGGCTCCACCGTGTAATCCAGTTTTGTAAGAGCCGATCAGCGTAGCAAGATTTAGTTAGTGTTACGTAAGATATTTCCTAAAGTTTAGAGCTAAGGGCAGCATTTAACGTAAATTGGTATTCATGTTCAGAATTGAAATTTAATTCAAATGCATTTATGTGCTTCTGTATTGGCTTTTTACTAATGTTTGTGTTCGGGGAGAGATTAATTTACTAGAATGTATGGACATTGGGTGCCGTTTATGTAGTTTTTAATTTTGGTGTCTGTCTCAAAGCACTTTAAAAGGGCCTTACCTGAAAAGACAAAGCTGCACTACAGAGAAAAAAAAGGTATTGTAAGAGAGAAGCTCATAAAAATAAAATTAAAAGTTACAGCAAAGCTCAGGAAAGTCTTCAGAGCTTCCTCCCCTCCCAGCTTGCACCACAGCTAGAAAGTCTGTGATATGATATTTTTTTTTTTCTTGTAACTCTTAATATTTTGCTGCCAGGGGCAGGTTTTGAGAGACGAGTTTTTCAAGAGTTGTGTTTCTCTTCTAACAGAATGAAGTTCCTGAAGCTAAGAAAGAGGAATCTTTGCTAGATTTGGACTTCGACCCTTTCAAGCCAGAAGCTGTAACAACAGGAGTTACTCATTCACCCATGTCTCAGGTATCTCCCTGCCTTGAGGTGGGCAAAGCAGATGAATGCAACGTGCTGTGTTTTTAGTAGCAAAGATTTGTCTTGTGTGCTAATGGGCAGCATATCTGCAGTGTCTGGAAAAACTTGATCTTCCTGAGCAGCTCTAGCCAGCCATCTCTCTTTCCCCTTCAGTTCTTGATGATGTACCAGAAGGAGAGGAAATTGTCAGGTGGTAAAATGAGATACCTGCCAATGGGAATGGTTGCTGGTCAACCTTGCCCTTGACTTGGACACACTGTTATTTTCCATCTTTAGAATCACTCTTAGTGCCAACATTATAATTCTCCAGCGCCTGTTTTTCTGACAATTTTTCTGACCTGGCTTTGACTCTTCATGTCTGGAAAGATGCCTCAGGGGACCTCGGTCTCGTGGAGTCAGCATGCGATTGCTTCTGCACCAAGCAGTGGATATGATCTGAGTGATTTTGCTTTTATAAATCTATTTTAGACCTAACCTCAAGAAAAATGAGAGGATGGAATAGGATGTTTTCTTGCAGCATGTTTTGTTAAAGAAATTCTGCATTCTGTGGTAATATTTTTCATGATAGTTTCTTGCAGCAATATGAAAAAAAGAAAGGAAAAGGGGGGAAAAAAGCGCCTTATATAGAGAGTTGCTGATTTTCATTGGCTTACTCTAGGGGACCTGCTATTTTAAGATCCAGAACTTGCCCTCAGTACCCACAGGGCTAATAGTACAGTAGGGAGGTTCTCCTGGCCAGCAGAGCTGTAACTCTATGTTGTACCCAGAGAATGAAATAATATTAACACGCTGTTAGCAAAACCCCTTCTCCCTGTGGCTATCGCTAGCCTGGCTTGTACAGTGAGACATGAGAGGGCTAATCAGCTGTTCAGGAATGCAGCACTGGGAAAGGAGTGAGAAGACAAGAAGCTTTAAGGCTGAGATAGTCCTGGTTCTCTGCTGATCTCTCCCTTGGTTAATTAATTTCTTATTTGGTGTGCAGTCCTGGTTATGTAATGAAATCTGGAGTGATCTCTTACAGGTTATGCACTGTCGGAAAAACACGGTATGGTCAGCACTCTGAATGTTAGTTAGCTGGAATTTCTTTCAAATTGTGGTTTGCTAAGAGAACTGGTTTAATTATAGCAGAGGCTTTGTGCATCTCACTTGTTATTTTTCTTGCTCCTTCTAAACAGGAAAAAGGAAGGGAAAGAGGAAGGAAATTTCTTGGCATTCAGCAGTGGCAGAAAACTCTACCCTGTGACTTTGCTAGCTCTACCTTTTAGCTTGTCTTGTAATAATGCCGATTAGAGCAGTGGGATCATTAAACCAAAGACATTTCACTTTTGTGACTGAGCACGTTTGTCCTGACATCAGATCATACAGATTGTAGGGGAGTTTGTTAGTTTCATGGAAAGGAGTTGGTTTTAGATGCAACTGTACCATGAAATACAGAATATAATTCTGTGTAGGAAAGATTGGTAGATGGTAGGAAAGATGGTAGATTTTCATCTAGGCACATAGGAAGCATTCACTGAGCACCTTCAGTCTCTCCTCTCCTTTCACCTTTCCTCCCAACACACATATATGAGAAAGGATGGTCCACATCCACAAGAGCATGTGGATGAATCAGAGCACCCTGTGTTTAGAAGAAGGGAAGAGAGCCCTGCGGTCTGCTCTCGGTCTCGCTGGATGTGGCAGGGTCATTCCTGTGGCAGCACAGACAGAATGAAACCTGTAGGTGCAGTCTGTGGAGAGCCCTGTTATTGCCTCAGTCATGGATGACCTGTAGGTGCAGTCTGTGGAGAGCCCTGTGCGACCTTGCAGGGAGAGTAAGAAGAGAGCCTTAAGTGGTGTTTCTAGATGTGTATCATTATTGCCTCAGTCATGGATGTTTTCCCCTCAGCGAGCTGCTGAAGTGGTGACGTGAAGGCAGGAGTAAGTCATCTGTGCCGTGATGCTCTCAGGAGGCCTGGCATGACTTCCCTATTGATCATTTCATTAATTACCTCCTTTCACTGCTCTGCCAGGGTAATCAGACCACAGTGAGTGAGCCCCGGTCTGCCCTTCCACACTTGCTTGTCTGTTGCTGTGGCTTCTTCAGAAGTGACCTTCTAAATGTGCCTGGCTTTTGTCTCTGCTAGCTGTGGTCTGTCTCACTTTTCCCTCAATTTTTTCCTTCCCCATCCTGCTCAAAGTCTCACGAGCAATGAAAGGAAAATGAAAAAAATGAAAAATGAGCAATTTCTCCTTTCCTGGGAGTCAGTAGGACGTCCAGGGTTTGTACCAGTTAGCACTATGAGAGCAGACCTACCGTTTTTCCTTAAAGCTTGAGTGTTCAGCTAATAATGTTACAGCAGAGTAAACAGGCACACCTGTGAGCTTACATCCACAGAAGCAGCACGTACTTGGACTTAAACCAAATTAAACTGATTCAGAAGTGGCTGTTAATGTTAATTTGCTGTAAACCTGAGCAGTGAGTTATTACTGTGTCTTTTGTTCAGGAGAGCAGAAGTTGTTTAGAGAGCCATTCTGTCCTTATAAAATAAGAAGCAGGCAGGAAAAGAAGCTAAGTGCAGCAAGCCTTTCTTGCAGGCAAATGTTAGATGTCACATTTAACATTTGCAAATATTCCAGGAACAGTTTTACATTTTAGTTTTTCACAAGGCAAATGTTAGATGTCACATTTAACATTTGCAAATATTTCAGGAACAGTTTTACATTTTAGTTTTTGAGCATCATTAGTTTTGGTTTTCACGGACTTTAAGCTAAGTGTGAATATAGTAGATATGTTTTAAAGCATCTCGAAATGCTTTTGGGACCAACCAGTGGAGTTCCTCCCCATGCAGTAGGCTATTAATATTTGACAGGAAGTCTGCTCCTTTTCTTCCATCTGTCCATTCAGCTTTTCTTCTGAGAGGTCACTAACATTTATTATTTAACAGACTGGACAAGAAAGTGAAAACATTGGTCAACTTTTTTGTCTTCTTTCCCCAAAAGCATGCCATTTTCCTTCGTGGTGTCAGCGTTATGAGAAAACCCATTTGTTCTCAGTGAATAGCTGGAGCATTTTTTTAACTAGCTAAAAAACCTGACCTATATAAGCTCTTTAAAGCTTACACCTTGCAGAGACTCCTGTACCTGTCGGAAATCATTCAGTCACGAGCTCAGAATCTGGCTGTGACTCAAGCACGTGGTGGTGAGAGTTTGCTGGAAAGCAACAACTGCTTTGAAGTGGGAAATAACCACAATCCATCCCATATTGCCCCTCCTGTTTAAGGAAAAAGTGTATTATGTGTGTGTGCTAGTATGTAAAATATATATGTATTATAAGTATGCATAAAAATAAGTTTTCTCTTGTTAGTTAATGCACATAGTTATGTAGCATGTTGAACACACAGTATATGAAGAGTATTTTTATAAAACCCTCTTTTTTCCACTTCTTTTTTTTTTTTTTCAGACATTGCCATGGGATCTATGGACGGTAAGCCTGGCATTTATCATTGGGAATTGGGATATTTCTGTGCCTCTGTTTTTGTAACACCCCAAATTCAGATTAACAATGCAAGTACCAAAAGCCAAGATAAATGATTTAGAGACTGTGACAAACACTTTTGAGTATATGAAGCCGCTGGGGATCTTTTAAAACCACAGCCACCAAAAAATCATCTGGGTTGCTTGGCCTACAAAGCCAAAGTGATGTCAGAAATCTAGGCTATAATAAGATTAACAATCATTGTAGCTGTGTGTTGCTTGTATTCTCATGCCCAAATTACAGCTATTAGAGGGTAGGAATCAATGCCAGTCACCTGTTTTAATTATTTGAAAATGCAGTTCCTCAGGACTTTAACCCAATGGACAACCATTTTCTCAAAATTCAGAAGTGAAGAGAAAATTTAACTTCTCTTTGTGGGCATCCAGTGAATAACTGGAGTTATTCATGAATCCTTCCTCCTTCCTCCCGGTTCCAAATCAGATACAATGATCTACAGGAAGAAAACAACTAATTTTTGGGAACTTTCTTTTGACTTTATATCATGGAGATAGCTGGGTTGACTTGACGTGGAGCCTGCTGCGCACAGTTTTGACCTTTTGTGGCTTCAGCCAGCACAGAAAACTGTGGATGCTTCTCGTGCATTCAAATTTGCAGCACTGTTATGTGAACACACGGCGTGTGTGATGTATATTCAATGCTCATCTTTTTCTATTGGGAAAGGTTAAATGAAGCCTGAAAAAACAGTCACGTATGTAGGCCAGCCAAAATTTCAAGGCTGTGAACCTCTAGACCAGCTAAAATAACCCAGGAATGTATTGAGTTTGTTGCTCTAAACTTATAGTTTATCAATGTCTCTCTTTCACGTGGTTTTAGTTATAGCTTGCTAATATTATATATGTATTCTGTATTATAATTATTTTCCTCTTTGCTCTAGTTTTAAAAAAAAAATAGAGTAAGTAATGAGCTTCACAGCTAAATGGGATCCCTAAATTAGGGATACTCAACCTTTTACTGATTTTCTCTTACTAAGTTGAGCGCAGAGTAGTTGCTGTTCTTCCTTGCAGCATTTGTGTCCGTGCACAGCAGCAGTGTAGGCAGCAGGCTTTGGGACTCGATGCCTCACTCTGCATGGATGTAGATGCCCCTGCATAGCACAGGGTGATGGAGGTTCAGAGCTGCAGGCTCGGGGCCCTCTGCGCTGCCGGAGGGATGCAGTGATGCCTTAGTGTAGGTACAAGTAAGTCCCACTGCCACCTGCCTCGTTTTCTTCCTTGGTCGCTCTCTCCCAGAGCAACTCCCCTCTTTTCAATTGGGATGTAATAGGGTTCCTGTGATAAAAATGTCGGTGGCTCCCAGAGGAAAGCAAGGTGTGATAAATATTCAACATACTATAGAACTTCTTGGAATGGGCTGCCCAGGGAGGTGGTTGAGGCACCATCCCTGGAGGTGTTCAAAAGACAGGTTGATGTAGTGCTGGGAGGTCTGGTTTAGTGATGATGCTCCTTGTTTGTTGTGTGGGTGTCTATTTTTGTCAGTTAGGTTGACGGTTGGACAAGATGATCTTTAAGGTCCCTTCCAACCTAGACGATTCTGTGATTCTGTGATTCTTTTATAATGTAATGCAGAGGCTGGAAGCGTGGCTTAAATTTGGGGGCCTGGGGTTAGTCTTCTGTGAAGGGGCAGGAGAGGACCTACTGCTCCTTATTGACACCAATTTGGTAACTGCTGCTGGTTAGAGAACTGCTGATTAATGGACTACTGCTGTGAGCAATTACATTGTGGTCTTGTTTTCTGTGGTTGTAATGTATGATTTTCTTCTATACAGACGAGCAGCGAATTGGTGCAGCCGGTAAGCAAACCTCCCTCCAACACTGCAACCCCTCTAGAGACGTGCTTTAATCAGTGTGGCATAATACGTAGTTTCCTGGGTTTGTCTATCAGTGCTGCTCTTCTACATTGCAATCTATTGCTTCCAGATGTTGCAAACCACATAGCTTTTCCTTAAACGGCTTAATTTAGTCACTTCCATTCTTTAAATTAAAATTGCTCTAGTAAAATATAAATTTTGTGTTTTCTCATCAAGTCCGCCTTTTATCTTTTTCATCTTGTGTTTTTTCTTTGCTTTTCTGTCTGCTTAAAGCCTGATTCTTCAAAAAGTCTTTCCCTGTGTAACCTGGTCATGGAGGAAACCCCAAACAGTGGGCCATCAGAAGATATTAACAGATCTCAAACTGATCTAGGTTCACTCAACTGGGGCCTAGATGTTAGCACACCCAGTGTCAGCCAGGAGATCACTGCGGGCGGTTCTTTGCTTTTCCCTGGGGCAGAGCAAACCTCGAGCGATCCCACGGGTGCTCTGCCTGCTAGCGTTTGGCCTGCCCTAGGTGAGCAGGAGGATGCTGCACCAGGGTCAGCTTCTGTAAACCAAAACCAGAGGACTTCACTGGAGGACCAGTCGGATGCCAAAAATGTCCCGTGGGAAGACGTGGTGACCAATCAGCCTTTAGAGAACCTAAGCGGTTTTGGGACGCCCGTCCTGGGAACTGATAGCTTGTTGGATGAACCTCTCCCCTGTGATGGGCAAAAGGCAGAGGAAGAGCGGGAGGATGAAGAGTGGGCGGGTGTCGAGCCAAGCGAAAAGGTAGACACCAGAGCTGTTAACTACAAGGAGGTAGAAGGGACAGAGGAACTGGAAGAGCAAGGTTGCGAAACCAAAGGAGACAGTGAGGCAGAACTTCGAGAGGGTTTAGCAAAATCAGATCTGGAAAGTTTGGTCTGCACAGAGGTAGAAAATGTATATGGGTTGGAAGGTAATGATGGGGATGCTGGGAGAGCTAGTGGTGCTAAGCAAGAAAACCCTAGGGAAGAAGAATTCAAAGTTGTTGAGGAGGCAGATGGAGAAATACCGTTGTTGAGCACGGGGCTGGAAGGTGGGGACAAAATAGTAGCAGAGAGCAGTAAAACTGTAGAAAACACTGGCGCTGAACCTGAGAGAGCCTTTGGTATCTGGGATAAGGACCATGAAAGGACGTTTGAGGATGGCTTAGACCAAACTGACAGTACTGGCGAGAGTACACCTATGGAGCATATCAACATGACGGCACATGTTGACCTAGAGGTAACTGAGCACACAGAGAAGGACCCTACGAATACTGGAGATGTGGTGTGTGATGCTGAATTACTCAGCGCAGAAGAGTCCGGTAAAGGAACCGAAGCCAGTGGCATCAGCCACCTCCCGAATGGTAGTGCTGCTGCTGAAGGTCAAGCTGCTGCTGCTAAAGAGTGGGCATTGCCACCCGAGACGGCCGATGCTGGTAGCAAAGGCGGTGGTAGTCCTTGCCTAGATCATGCAGAAGACCAAGCGACAGGTAGGGTGGCAGCAGCAGCCGCTGAAGAGCATCCTAGTAGCACTGGTGTTCCTGAAGCCTTGGAAACAGACCCCTGGCTGGCAAACTGGGATCCAACAGTTACTAGCGATTCCTGGGGGTTTTCTAACCTGTCAGATGGCCAAGCCAATGGACTGGATGGTTGGCCCTTTTTCCCCAAGCAGCAAGACTCAGAGGAAGGTAACAGGGAAAACGTTTGGTTAGGCTTTAGTGATAAATGGTCCACGCAAGACCTAGGAGGGAGTGATAGCAGCTGGGGAGAAGTAGGTGGGAGCACAAGCAATAAAAGCCAGGAGGCACCAGTAAAACAAGGCTTGCCCGGGGAGCAGGCGGGCGTTAGCAATCCCGGACCCAGCAAGGAGATAGCTAGGCCCTTGGCTCTCTTTCAAATGGGAAATTCCAGAAATGCTAGCACCGAGAGTTCAACTAGTCCTAAAGACAATGAGACCAACAACTCAGATTTATCTGAAGATGAAATTGCTAACCGGAGATATGGATTGTTGTACCAGGAAATTGAGGCTGATAAAGAAGAGGTACCTACCCCAGTGTGTAGCGTAGTCTAGACACAGAGTTCCTTAGGCCATGCATAACCTTGTCGTTTAAAAATAATCCATTTGTGTGTTTCCCACTGCCCCTCCTAAGCCCGTGCTATTCTTTTTTTTATTTTTTTTTTTGGTGTTTTTGAAAAATTGCCATGCAACTGCTCACAGTGTGGTCCCCCTCAGCTGTGTCGTAAAGCAGGCTGACCAAAATGCCTTTCGAAATGGTGAATGAAGCTTTGAACTGTGAAGGCACATTGTGTCTCACAGGTGTTGTGTTTTATATGTATAACTTCAAATGCACCTAGTCTTTTTTTTTTTAATTTTATTTTATTAATAAATACTTAAGTTACTCTGCTTTTCAGTTTTGATGTTTTCTTTGAGCCTGTGACACCTGTTGTCAATAGCGCTGTTGTCAAATATCTTGCTGCCTTACCCTTCATTTATTATTTTTTTCTTTTTTTTTTTTTTAAATGTCTGGCCTATTTTTATTTTTCAAATAAAATGTTTTGACTCATGTCCTGATTTAGTAAACAAATGATAATTTTTTCTGATCTTCACTTCTACTTAGGCATCCAGCACAGCATTTAATGGATTTGCACAGGTAAGAAATAAACATGTTTTGAGATTTTTTTTTATTTTATTGTTTTTTTCTGGGCTGTTGGGATGGGATTAGGACTGACTGTACGATTTCAGGAAATCTGTTCTACACACGAGCTGCATAACAATGTCATACTGACTCAAATCCAAACCTTGTCTGGTTTCAGAAATTATTCCTAAACGTTACTAACGTGATGCTAATACTCTTGGTACTCCTGGCCTGATTGAATTTAATAGCAACAATCGGGCTGTCTTTTTTTTTTTTCCTCATAAAAGGACTGTTTTAGCTTTTTTGTTGTGCTCTTCTGTGGATTTTTCTCACAATCCCCAAATTGTGTAAAGCATGGTTTCTTCAGTTTCGCAGACTTTCAGTGACTTTGTGTTGTGTGTATATGAAATGAGTTGTGTTTGTTTCTGCATCTTTATTTTCATTTAAGATCTATTTTCATCTGAAAGTTAAACATTAAGTATTTTCTTACTGCTATGCTGATAGTGAGGCTCTGTGTTAGGCATTACAGAGATGCAGCGCATGAAGATAACACATTTGTGCTTTCAAATTCCAAGGCTGTGCCATCATCCCAAGTTTAAGGTGGATAATCTGGGGCCTCATTAAATTCCAACATCCTTTTGGAGACTGGCTCATCCACAGCACACCCTGTGCACTGTTTTCAAAAAGCATACACAAAAGCTGAGCTTATACAAGGCTGAAAATGTCTCTTTCAGTGCTTATTCATTTTGCTCCACCTCTTTAAAATTAATAATGGATCCAGAAGGAAGGGGCAAAGCACAGGGCTATCACCCCTAATCATTAAGGCAAAATGTTTACCCCAAGGAAATAAAATCTGATGCCCCTACTGCAGTAGACAAACGAGTTGGCCCATCAATATTTTGCAAACTAATTGTTTCTGAATGACTAAGGTACTGGAAAACCTGTTCTCCACTTTTCTATCTTCTTAATGAAGGTAAAATTTGATATCCATGATTACTATAGCTACTATTCAAATAAAATCCCAGGATCAAGAGGATGTGCAAGTAGCTTAGAGCCAGTGCTCTCCCCAGGCACAGGCACGTGTAGTCTGCAAAAAGGATTCTGAGTTTCTCAACTTAAAAGTGCATCGTGCCTGAAACAAAGTCTTTGCAATTCACATGTATTTAATGAAGGGATTTTCACAGCCTTTCGTAACATAGCAGAGTCTAGAAGCATAGATGATATATTTGAAAAAGGAGTTTCTTTAGTATTAATACTGCTTAACTAATAATTATTGTTAATACCTGTTTAGATGATCTGTTTGCTGTGTTATTCTATGTGAAGTTACTTTTGACTTCACCTGAATAAGCCATAAAAAAAACAGGTCTTGGGTAGACACCAGTAAACAGCCCGTCTCAAATATTTTTACCTAATTGCTTTTTATTTCTATATCTAGGATACCTCTGCATTTACAGTGCCATCAAATGAGAATGTGACAGAGCCTTTGGTAAGTGGTGGCTTTTACTTCCTTTTTATATGCCCTGTAAAGAAAAATGAGAATGTGACAGAGCCTTTGGTAAGTAGTGGCTTTTACTTCCTTTTTAAATGACCTGTAAAGAATGGCACCTTCTTTTTTTTTTTTTTTTTTCCTTTGTGCAAAGATATTTGCTCTTTTTTTGTGTGTTTTCTAACCTTGAAGTCACAAAACCTTCACCTGGAAGGGTTGGCGGGTGGTGTCATTGTAGTTGGAAACCCATACTCACTGCAACAGTCTTCCACAAAAATAGCACAGAGAAAAAGAGAAGGAAACCAGGACATTCTAAGATATGTTTACTTTTCAAAGGTGTAGTCAAACAGCTTGTTTATTTATTGCAGTTAAGAAGTGACAAGAAGGAGTACTGTGGTCCAGGGTATCTGGACCAGTGTATCACAAAGCAGGGGATAGTACATGATGGCTGTTTAAAGTTTTTTCTCTCTCTAGTTTTATCTGCTCTCCACATATTAGTAGTGGGCACAGTCTGCTTCAAAGGGATGGAGAAATCTTTTTGGAAGTGATCATACCTGGGCAGTTTCTTAGTTTCTTTTACAGAGAAGTCTTTGGTTAGCCTGGAGTAAGGATGTGGAGTAGTGGCATTGCTGAGTGCTATAGCTACTTAATAGCAGCGAAGTATTATTTAATGTGGCTTTTGTGTAGTGCCTCTGGTGGTGTTCAGAATGGTTACTGAATATGGTTGTGAGTACTTTTACTTGTAGCTGAGATGTGGTAACTAGTCTGAAGCCTGTTTGTCCAAAAGTGACTTGAAGCACATCAATACAGTCTGCGTTATTTCATGTTAGCTGTGCTTTTAAGCCTGAGAGTTTCTTCCAGTATTAAACCTCAGGAACCTCATTAGTCATCTTACCTGGGATAAATCTGCTTTGTGCTCCTCATTTCAGTCCAATTTCTTCTTTGTGAAATTCCCTAGAGCTGGCATTAATACACTACACAGAGAGATTTCTGCACAGCATGGGATAATATAATGAATGTTTCTTTATGCTATGCCAAATCCTGAAGGTCTTGCTTAAGCAGACTTGTCTGTACCTCATTAAAAATCAGTCTGCTTAAGGAATACACGAGAAAATAAGTGAGAGGCGCTTTTTTTTTTTTTTTTGTTTCCTGAAAAATGTCAGGGAGGAGAAGATTTCGGTATCTTTAAGAATTTGATGGAAGCTGTCTCTTCATCACAGGAGACCTTCTAGCCAGCTGCCTGTTATCAACTGCAAAGCAGCTTTTTGAGCTTCGTGTTCTGCTGAGCAATTTGTTCATGGCAAATTAATCTTCTGGGGTTATTTTTTGTGGTTGAGTCAGCCATCGTTATAAATGGAATCTGCTGAGCACAGCTTGCAGCTCTCCCCTTGTTTGCGCGTGTATTTGGGAAGGGATGTCTCCGTTGGAGATGGTGCTTTTGCTGTGGGGTGTCTTGCCACAGGACTGAACGTGTTGCAGGGCTGGTGATATTTGCTAGATCCTCTTGCTAAAAAACAAGCTTGGGCCAGAATTTAAAAGGTTGGAAATTCCACTAGTCTGCTGACAAATGGATGCCTCGTAGGTGATGGAGAGCTCCGGAGGGAATGCGTTTTAATAAGAAACCAGGGATGATTTTCACACTGCCAGAATTCAAGCAGTCAGTGGTTGCCCATGTGCATATAAAAGATGTTTGAGTCTCTGCTGAGTTGCTTCTTACCTTCACTGGAGAGGGGATTACATTGTCTGAGAACAGACGGAACTAGGGAATAGGGGATAATTTTTAAAAACTTGTATTTGAAACCCAGGGTGGGTACACACAAGTGCCAGTTTCGACGGCCTCGCCACTGGTTTCTGGAGCATTTCTGAAAAACTCAGTGCCTTCCTCCCACTTCCACTGCCCATTTTTGTAACTCAGAAACCTGATTGCTTTCCTTCCTTGCAAGGGGGGGTGTGGGACTGGCTCAGTTTACGTGTAGGACGTTGAGGATGAAAATGCTGTTCAGATGCTGTAAGGCCAAGCGGCAAAGCCCGGCAAGATTGAGTTCCCATTCCCCTCTTCCCTCCCCACTATCATGTGCTCCTCAACAATTTTTCCGCTGTCTGCTTAAAAATCAATCAAACCAAAGACTGAGGCTGAAGAAGCTCCTCCTGGGGAACCCAAAGTCGAGGAAACCCCTGCTGCTGCTGCTGCTGTTGTGGAAAAGGAGGCCGTCCCTGCTGAGCCTGCTGAGCCAGCAGAGCAGGCTGCGGTGAGTGACCTGTCCCCCGTGCCGCTTCCTGGGCCTCATCCGAGCTGCCTTTCATCATGGTGAATGTGCCTGCTGCGTTTCAGCCATCCTTTCCATCCTCACCATCCATCCACGGCTGGTTTCCCCAGCCCCCAGCTGGGTCACAGCATGCCTCTCCAGCACGCGTCCCCCCTTCGGCCCTAAAACGTCATTCCTCTGAGGTGTGACATTTTAGACTGAAGTTCACCTGAGTCATCGCGGTTTCACAGGTGGTTTGATTCCAGATGAACTTCAGAAGGGGAAAGAATTGATGGCATTTTAAAACGACCTTCTTAGCACTTTTCTCATTTCATTTCAAGCTGAGCTGTAAGCACTAAACCAACGTACGTCTTGTATGGTCCTTGCTGTAGCATGATAATACCAGAAAAAAAGTGATTGTAATATCTACACATACATAATGTCTACAAGGCTCATGGTATTAGAAGCCAAGCGTGAGCTGAAGAGGGAACTCCCAAGCGCCAGTTTGGAGATTTTTACATCTCAGCATTCAGGAAATGGTGGGAGAAGAAGTGACAGCTCTGCAAGAAGAACAAAGCAGGGCACCTGCTATCACTGCAAATTAAGAGGTGGTCTGAGACTCTAGGCGTGGGGTTTTTCTGCTGACTAGCATCCCTTTTAGAAACAGGTATCTCAGTGAATATCCCTTTTATCCCACTGAGGTTTCCTCTTCTACATACTGCTCTTAGGAGGTCTTGGTGGAGGTTGATACCCACAGGTTTATACCACCAGAGGAAAAATGCATCTTTTTTTGTAGGCTGACAGTTTTCCTGCTTCCCTTGAGACAATAACATGTTCGAAGTCTCTAATGAGTGTTTGTTGCTGTTAGAATATGCAGGTTACTACTGGAAAATTGGACAGAAAAAGGTGTTGTTTTGTGGGTTGATTGCTCTTGCAGGTTACTACTGGAAAATTGGACAGAAATAGGTGTTGTTTTGTGGGTTGATTGCTCTGCCACAGAAGCCAGTGGAAGCTCTATAGCTGTGCTTTTTGACCGTCAAGCGCCCTAAGGGTTCCCAGAAGAACAAGGTGCAGCTTGTGGAACTGCTCTTGGCCTTGGGTGAGTTCCTAAGTATCTTAATCAGCTTAAGTAGGAACGATGATACCCAATTCATCATAAAATTAGGTGGTTTTCAATAAGCGTTGGATACACTGCCCCATGGGAAGCAATATTAAGGTGATGTAGAGGCAAATTAGCTGAAGAAAGTGAAAGTAGCTGGCACCTATAGATGTGGCAGCACAGAGCATGGGCAGAAGACTTGTCAGATATGCAGCTACTGTAGTGTCTCATGGATCTGTCTCTGGAGCTGATCTTGTTTATATTTTTATTAAAAAATGGCTTGGACACTACAAGCCTAATGGTAGCATTTCTCAATGGCTCCAGGTTGGGTAGTGTCATGAATTTTGGGGGATAGCATTGGGCCCACTAGCTCTACCAGCCAAGGACAGGCTGGTTATCTGCTGGTGCTGCAAAAACCGCGGGTGATACTAAGCAAACTGTCTTCAGCAGAAAGGAGGAGGTACTAGTGTTGGCGTGCAAAGCTCTGGAGTACAAATGTAGTACCCAACCTGCTTTGGCAGGGGGTTGGACTAGATGATCTCCAGAGGTCCCTTCCAACCCCATATGATTCTACGATTCTATATTTATGAAGCTGAAAAGGTTTCTAGATGGTTTTATTTTGATTATCTGTAAGGATTTAATGAAGAAAAAAACTGTAAAAGAAGTTCACCATTTTTCTAAAAAGGACCCAGCTCCTCTTTGCCTGGCACTGAGACAACCCAATGCTCTGAAGCCTGGTGCGTGTCTTAAGCGCTAATTAAACACCAGGCTGTGATTGCAGGACCACTCATCCCCTCGTTGGTCGGTGTGACCTTTTTGGATGATCAGTTTTGCTGCCTGATTGTCCATGAGGAGCTCTGTGTCCACGGTCTGTGGGCAGCCGCTCCGGCCGAGGCAGAAACACAGCGCAAGAGCCAGGCAATATAGGAGCAATCTGGAAGGAAGACCATAGCCATTAAAAAGAAGTTAAAACAGTTTTGATTAGTTTTTTGATGCTTCTTGAATTTGAGTTTGTTGGTGCTAATTTGGAAAAAAAAAAAAAAAAGCTTAAAGTGTTGATTTTAAAAATGCCTGAATTGGAGTCATTCTAGGTTTGGCTCTGGGGGGTTGTTATTTCACGAAGGGCTTTCCAGGACTTGCAAAGAAGAGTTTTGAAGATTAGGATTAATGACAAATATGATCAAAGCTAAGGGAAAGTACACTGAGTTGCAAAAGATGAAAAGATGTCATTTCTCAACAGGAGTACTGCATTCGTTTGCTTTATGAGTGACAGTTTACTTTAAAAGTGGAGTTGTAAAATATAGACAGGCACTTTCTTATTGGGAATCTTTTATCGAGTTTAGTAACTTCCAGTTTGGAGTGACAGCCACTCATCAATTAAATTTTCCTGTGGTGAGTTTCCTCTCATATCCCATTAATGCAGAAAATGTATGGCACGCATTCTTTATTGTAGGAGCTTTGTGGTAAATTTTCTGGTAGGGTTTTCATTTAAATTAGGGAGAGAAATTAGGGACCATTCCAGGGGACAGGGTACCACTTGCTGCTCAGGGACTTTTGGATTGAGTTACTTGTTGTTCTGTATTCTGCCTGAACAAGATTGCCAGGACTTCATTACAAGAGCTCATTAGGAATGCTGCCTGGCATCTCATTACACGTTTTTGTCTTGGTCCTTCAAGTCTCAAATGGCACAGAACAAATAAAGTCTTTATTAGTGGCTGTCAACAGTCAATCCTTTTTGGGGAGGGGCTAAAATATTTGGTAATTAAAGGGACAGAATGACCATATGCACCAACAGAAATGAAGTTAAGCATGGGGAAAAGTCCTTGCGTGGACTTATGCGCACCAAAACGGTTGTTACCCTAGTATTCCCAAAGGCAGGTGTAAAATCCAAAGGATACAGTCGAAAGGATACAAGGCATTAACCGCTGATTTATTTCTTTTTTTAAATACCCCTCACACCACATCCGTTTTTCACATTCAAATGAAGATGATATGATGAGAGCATTATAGTAAAGTGAAAGCTTTCAAAATCTTGTTAATTCCCTTTCTTCTTCTCCTGCACAAGAGACGTAGTGCTTGGAGTTGAGAGCACTGCTCTGAGATGGACTTTTTGGCTTATTTACGCTCTGGAGAATCATAGAATCATAGAATCATCTGGGTTGGAAGGGACCTTCAAGGTCATCTAGTCTGACCCCCCTCCCGGCAGTCAGCAGGGACACCCCCAACTAGACCAGGTTGCCCAGGGCCTCGTCGAGCCTCTCCTTGAATATCTCCAGGGAAGGGGCCTCAACCACCTCCCTGGGCCACCTGTTCCAGTGCTCCACCACCCTCACAGTGAAGAACTTATTCCTAATCTCCAATCTAAATCTGCTTTTCTCCAGTTTAAAGCCATTACCCCTTGTTCTGTCATTGACAGCCTTTGTAAACAGGCTCTCCCCGGCCTTCCTGTAGGCCCCCTCAGGTACTGGAAGGCCGCTATTAGGTCTCCCCAGAGCCTCCTCTTCTCCATTAGTTTGGAAAGAGCCTTTCAGTGCTTTGGATCTGATGCCCCCCTGGATTCTGATGTTCTCCCACTAAAGCAGTCAGACACTCAGCTAAATACTGTGGTTTTCAAGGCTGTGTGTAAGGATATGAAACTACTTCTTTGCAGGTACAGAAGAGGCTGGGAAATAGCCTTCAGCTTTGAGGGTATCTCGTTGGGGTTGAATCCCAGGTACAATTCACGGCACCCAAATGTCAGAGGATGTCATTTGGGAGAGCAATGAGATGGTTAGATACAGAAGAGTGGTGAAATGGCTCCAAATTCTGAGCGTGCAGCCGAGTGCAGGTGCGAAGTTGGAGCATGAGGCCATTAAAAGATCTGGCTGTCGTATACAGGAGAGACCTGGAGTGAAACAGTGACATTCTGTTGAGGTCTGCAAAAGCAGATTTTTCCCCTGTTTATGGAACTGGAGTGTTACTTTACTCGGATGTTATTTCAGTCATCCTTTTTACTAGGCTTTCATGCCCTAAAAACTGGACGGTTTGTGCTACCGTGCCTCTCTTCTCAAACCCCACCATCCACAAAATCCCAATTTCCAGCTAATCAAAAAAGCAAAAGGAAATTGCTGCTAATTTGACTAGTGCACAAGAGTCAAATTAGCTTTGGGAAGTCCCAAGCTTTGGGAAGCAAGGGGACCTCTCCTTACTTTCTCCTTTCCCACCGAAACTGTGCTTTCAGTTTGCCTGGAAAACAGTCCTCGTTTAAAAATATGTATATATTAGATTTTTCTGCAAAGAGGTCCAAAGCTGGGCTGATGGGTTTCTGACCAGAGAATATTGCCAGGGTATTATTAAGAGAAAGGCGGAGGCTGGCACGTTCTTGACTACAAAGTGCAGGATGATGCTTATTTCTGAAGGCCAATTGACTTGTAAATACAGCTGATGGCAGAAATTCAGTGCTTTTTAATTGTAAAAGGCATCTCTCTACCAAATTGCAGTTCGAGCTGATGGCAGAAATTCAGTGCTTTTTAATCGTAAAAGTAGGGAAGGCATCTCTCTACCAAATTGCAGTTCAACATAAAGCTTTTATGGGCAATAGAAACATTTGTGGACGTCTGTTCTGTAAAAAAAGTGTGGTTTCTGTGGGTGGCTGTGTGCATCGGTAGAGTAAGAAATAATTATATATTGCCATTGATATCTGTTTTTTTTCTATTTAAGATCCTCTACATTCTCAAACTTACTATAAAATTGAGGACTCCATGGCAGCTTCAAAAAAAAAAAAAAAAGAAGAATTAATCATTAAAAAAAGGTTATATAAGGCTGTGATTTTAACAGGATAAAGCTGTGAGAGGTTTCTATGGTAACGCTGCTGTCAGCAGCTGCCTTGCCTTGGCATCTGGATGTGTTTGGGGCTTATGAGGCAACTGCAGGCAATACTAGAAGATTAGATTAGAAGCAACACGAGTGATATGAAGTTTGGCTTCATAACTCAGCATCTTTTTATTAAAAAAAAAAGAAACATGGGGCCATTTCAAGCTGAAGCTCGTATAAATTTTGGAGTGGCGGTTGTGGGGGTGGGAAGGCAGCTGGAGCCTGAGAACTTGCTGCCTCCTCGATTCTGATTGTGAAAGTGGGCAGTTCCAACCTGCCATGCCTTCACCTTGGTTTGCAGAACTTGTCTTCACCCTCACAGCTCTTTTTGAGAAAGTCTGACCTCGGCCGTGTTTGCAAAGCTGCCTCAAAACTTATTAGCAAAGGGGGGAGTTCCATAACGGGGCTTTGATTTGCTTTTCCTCATCAGAGTGTCTTTAGAGAGAGCCCCTCAGGGAGTCCAACTTGAACAGGGGAAAAAAGCACTTCCACCTGTTCCAAATCAGGCCTGAATTTTAGCGATTTTGACTCTTGACCTTCAGTAGAAAAGGACTCAGTGTTAGATGGTGTCTGTGACATAAAAAGTGCTATTGGGAGGAGCCCATTACCCTTCAGTGCGTTTGATCCCTTGAACATCTAAATGGGTGTCAGATGTAGAAAACCACTGGCACGTGACTCATTTTCAAAATGTCAGGCACCTGCTTCCAGGTACCACTGGGTATGGACCTAGAGAATGGTGATTCTGCAAAAAAACTATGACTTTGTGACCCACCTCTTTTGAACAGCTCCTTTAAATGAGTTGCAGCCCAACGTGAGGGGAAGAAGTAAGAATTCTAGAAGGTTTACCTCAAAACTCTGGTGAGCTGCAGGGCAGCAGCAGGTTATAATGGGAACAGTTTGAGTCTTGGATGGGAGAGATTTGAGCTTGCTGGAAACCCCAAGGTCAGCGGTGCTGTGGGTTGTTGCTTGCTAAAAAAGTCTTCAATAGCTGGTGCTATTAAGAAAATACTGATAATAAAAGTCAATAAAATTGTCCTTAGCACTTACAGTGTGATGATGATGACGATGACATACGTAAAAGGTTTTATTTGTTGGCTTTCAGCCCATAACTGCTTTTATTTCAGATTATATGTGGCAGCAAGAATCTTTCTGCCTGCTATATACAATCCCATTTGAGTTCCAGCCGTTCATTTCATTGCATCCCATACGTGCTGTGCTTTCCATTCAGCTTGATTAATACCAATTTCTCTGCAGCCATTGCCTCAGCATGTGTAAGGTGATGACCATGTTTCCTCTCTATACAGGACAGTGTCGAGGCAGGGGAAAAGGAGACAACTGGAGTTGCTGAGAAAGAAAGCGAGGTACCTATAAACAGACTCAAAAGTGTGGTTGTTTTTTAATATCTTTGAGGAATCATGGCAAAAAAGATACTTGTCATTTGCATGTCATCAGTATGCAGGCCAATGCGATGCAACTGTGACCTAGTTGCACTCTCTCTTCTAACGCTGCAGAGATACAGCTAAATCTGTGCTATATATTCTCACACCAAAGTGCATCCCATTCAATGCAGGACCTGCTTTAGAGACTGCCTGTTGCAGCAGGGTCTGGCTGATAAATATCTCAGGGCAGCAACCAAAGCAGCTCCGTGGCAGGAGAAGGTATAATGCTGTTCCTATTGACGTTTGGAAAGATGTTGCACAGATTCCCAATAGCTTTTGCACTTCCCATGAAGTTGTTTGCCTAACCTTCCTCCAAACATCTTTATGAAAAGAAAAAAACTTCGATTAATCGTTTCTTTTTCGTAGCACATTATGCCCTGAACTAAAACAGGGATTTGAAAACGATCGTGTTGCGAGGTTGTTTGCTAAAGCACAACCCTGGCATCAAGGTAGAGACAGTTAAAATCAAATTACAAATCAGCTGAAAAGTTCAGTGACATACTTTAAGCTGTGGATGCATGGACTCGAATGATTGTATTTTGCTTCTATTTCTTCAGAGGTGATAAAACTAATTACCTTGAATCCTTCTATACTAAAATGAAACTGTAACGTGTTCAAACATGCACAGAGAGCAGCACAAGAGGAATGGCTACTTATTAAAAGCAGGGATGGAAGTAGGGACTGAGAAAAAGATTGTAGTCCAAGTTTTTAATCACTTAGGATTTGTATCTCGAGGTGCTGATGAGCTCCTTTTTTTGTTGGTGCCACAATGTGCACAAAAAGATCGTGAAGTGGTCTCCGTTCACTCTGGTTTCAGAACATGGTAAGTCCAGCTGTCCAAGCTTGGGTGTGTTACCCTGCTGTAGAACAGTGTTAGTCGAGGATGTATCTGTGGCTCCAGGGTATCCCATTGTCACTGGGAAGCGAGTTTGGGACTCACTGGTGCCAGACTCCTCACCAGCACTACCACATCCATGGGGAAATGAGTGGAATTACACTAGCAAGAAAGTACAGGAGGGGAGTGGTGGATGAAGCCCAGCTTGGTGCTGGCACAGTGCGAGATGCTGTGTTGCTTCCCTGGCCTTGGCTGGTCCCTCCCAGCAAGTCTGGTCCAAGAAGAAACATGCAAGAAATTCCTCACTGTCCTGTGAGCCCCCAGGCTAAGTCTTCGACATCTTTCCCTTTATTTTTCTAATATCACTTGTCCTTAAGAAGTTGAGGTCTCTTCTCTGGTGAGTTTGACACTGTGTTCTGTTTAAAATAGCAGTACTACTGTATGCAGAAGAGCTGCCATGAGAGATGAAGCTATTTGCTAAGCTGCTATCTGGCCTCCAGTGGAGGGTGGTCCCTTAGATACTGTAACTTGCATAACAAATTCTTCACTAGTACCCCAAAAGTCTTCCAAGACTTTGAAAGCAACTGATGTATTCCCCAAAGCATAATGATCAGTTCCTCTTGACATTATATTAGCAAGCTTAGCTGCGATTATGACCAACTGTCTTAAAAATTACCCAGTCCCCTTCTAAATCCAGCCACCGGGCAAGATTTTCAGGTCTGGAAAACTGGCATAGCTCCGGGAGCAACTCTGGCAGCCCCCCAGCACCAGGCTCAGTAGCCCTTCTCCTCTCCCCTCTCTCTCATTAACAGCTGTGTTAATGAGAGGAGAGTGCAATCATGTGAATTGGCTGCATCCCGGGTAAAGGAGCTTTCACTTCTCCTGCAATTAAAGCAATCAAGTGGTTCCTCTATCACAGCCCTCGTTATACTGGATGACCCTTTCTTCGTCCCCTGTGTGGCTGGTGTAATGGGACAACTGTCCAAATGTCAATAGTACTGCTAGAGATAGCTAATTTGGAATATTATGAGGCTGTCTAATATTAATGATGACATTAGGCTGTCTAATATAACTGGTATATTTGTGGAAAAGAGGTTTGTAGGACTGGTTTTGCATATGAAATAAGGTAATACAGGTAACTGTATCTGCAAGGGGTTCACTGTATGGATTCAGTCGGATGAGCCTTCCTCTTTTTTTTTTTTCTTTTCTGCATTACTCAAATATATTTGAGGCTGATAGTGAGGTTCATTCTGTGCTGCCTCACACGTGTTTTTGTAAAAGCCTTTTTTTAATCATCGAGCTTACATTGGTTTTGTGCTCTGAGACACGAGAACAAATGGTTGTGCAATTGTGAGCTGCACTATTACAGGGAGCGACCCACGGCTACAGCTGCCAGAGTCACCCTTTCTCTGTGGGGCACCAGAAAGCTGATTCGTGTAAATTAGCATTCTCCTCCTTGCTGAAATAAAATGGGCTATACAAATCCAATAAAGAGAAAACAAGCGTTGATCCTAATCACAGCAGACAGACAGATCAATTTTGGCAGCGTGCTGTTAGACGCGCGTGGTATAAAATCAATCCGGTTCGCACACTGTCCCCCCTCTTTCTACCAGCCTCTTCTGGGGCTTTTACACTCAGCATTTATTTGGGCATCTTCTTGGGTCAAGGCTGCTAAAATTGGCAATAGGGTGAGTGACAGGCTTGTGTGCCTTACAAGTCACAGGAGAAGATGTCAACATCTGTCCATGTCCTTTGACGTTACATCTTTTTTTTACAGTGGGGCATCCTTCATCAGCAGCATTTGCAAATTAAACTGAAGTTTCTCCCCTGATTTCTACAGAACCCCACAGTATTTTCTCCCTTCAAGGACTCCGGGAGAATTTCTTTATTGTCACCTCAGTTAATAGCAGCGACTAGGAGTAGTGCTGAATATTAGATATTGCTGAAAAACACTGCCTGGAAAACAGCCATGAAGAATTGCAGGTGGTTCAGGTTGGGTTCAGGCAGCTCAGTTAGCCTCATCCGCAGAGGAAAGATCAAACTGAGGAAACAAAGAGCATCAGGCTGTTAACTGGGGAGCAGAGATATCTCTGCTAAATGTAGGCTGTTAACTGGGGAGCAGAGATATCTCTGCCAACTTGACGTTAGAAAGACAAGAAAACAGTTTTTCTTCAGTCTTTTTACTTTATCCTGGTGCTATCTGCCATACGTTAAAAGTTCCGTGTTGAAGTTAATTGGATGAACAGAATGAGTTTTTAATTTACTTTCCACCCTCCAGCCCTTAGGATTAATCCACTGTAAGTAAACAGTTTTTCTTCAGTCTTTTTACTTTATTGTGGCGCTATCTGCCATAAAGTTCTGTGTTGAAGTTAATTGGATTAACAAGAATGAGTTTTTCATTTACCTTCCACCCTCCAGCCCTTAGGCTGTGAGGATGTATCCAGTGTGCTACTGTGAGCACACACCAGTATACACCAGTACAAATATTAGGGTGATACCTGAATTACAACAGTCTCTGCTGGATGAAAGATTCAACCTTGTTCTATAGGCAGGTAATTTTCTATCCACCTTTCAAGAGCTGGAACAAAACATGTCTTAACTTTTCTACATGGACTGATGACAAATGGTTCAGTCATATCCAGACTGGATGGGCTTTTATGAATATTTCTTTTTTTTTTTATATATACTGACCTAGCTATAGATCTTTACGGATTTTTTTTCTGATAACAGGTGTTATATACTGACCTAGCTATAGATCTTTACGGTTATGTGTTCTGGTTGTTTTTTTTTTTCTGATAACAGGTGGAATCTGAAGATTTCTGATCTTTATCCAGCTGTGGGATGTATTTGCTTCTGCTGATATAGCCTGATTTGCAATTCTATTAGAAAGGAGTCTGTAATTAAGGCAGTGTTTTTGAAGCCAGCCCAGGTCTAGAGGTAGGTGACGGTAGCAGGAGAAAGGACTTACAGTAGCAGGGTCCTTTGGACCCCTGAACAGCTTGCAAGCTCCTCCTCTTCAGCAGAAACTGTGGAGAATTTCTTCCACAATGCAGCTGGGATGCAAGAGGAGGAAAAAATACTAGAGCCCTGGCAAACTGTCACTGCAGCAGTGACACCTGAGGACTCTACTAAGCGGTGCCCAGTGAGGTTTCACGAATGTCTCTCTCCCACCTGTTAATCACCTTCCCTGCATGAGCTTTCCCACCCCAAAATCAGGAGGAACCTCAGTGAAACCAAGGCCATGGGTTGGCACCACCCAGAGGTTGGTTTTGTGGTCTCTCCAGCAGATATCCTGAACTCCTGTCCCTCCTGTTGTTTGTAGGTGGTACCTGTCACGGAGGCGGCTGCGGCAGCAGAGGATGTGACAGCAGGAGCTGGGAACGGCACCGCCACCACCCAGCAGGAGGGTGTTGCTGAAGGTGACAGAGCTCAGGGAGAAGAAAAGGAGGCTGATGTTGCTCAGGTGACTCCCGTTGGTGCGCCGTAGGGTGTGTTAGGGGAACTGGGACAGATTCAGCAGCCCGAGAGAGGCGAGGCTGCTGCAGCTCCGTGCCCCCGGGTGCCACCAGCAGCAAGGCTGAAGCTCTCCTGGGAGGGACACACACAGAGCTTCTCTCCTCCTGAGTCCTTGATTTGGGTTGCTCCTGCCTTTGTGCCCCTGTGCTCCCTTGGGCATGCGGAGATGGGACTTAATAGGCTGGTGGCTCCTGTGATGGGCCAGGGAGCAGCATGGGCAGGGTGTTGTTTGGGCTGTTGTCCCTCTGTGCTCCTCTGTGGAGACAAGCTTCAGCATACAACCTAACAGGGCTTTCTGGAGAAACAGACAGACAAAGTAATGGATTTTTCTTGTGTCAGGGCACCGTATACAACCTAACAGGGCTTTCTGGAGAAACAGGCAGAAAAAGTAATGGATTTTTCTTGTGTCATGGCACCGTGTCCTATCCAACAGCATTACTTTGTTTTATATAAATCACAGAATCACCATGGTTGGAAGGGACCTCTGAGATCATCAAGTCGAACCTCAAAAAAATCCAAACCAAAACAAATACAACAAAAAAAACCCCCACAACACCCCACCACATCACACCCAGCCACAAACCAATAATCTTAGGCACTAGAGCATGCCCTGAAGTGCCACGTCTACACATTTCCTAAATCCCTCCAGGGATGGTGACTCCACCACCTCCCGGGGCAGGCTGTTCCAGGGCCTGACCACCCTCTCAGCAAAGTCATTCTTCCTAAGATCTAATCTAATTCATCCCCTTTATATCACTATTATGCTGCTGACTTGAACTCCCAAAGCAATGTGACTCCTGGAACCTGTGGCCTTAGCCAAACCCATTTACAGAGCAGGGTGGAGGAGAAAGGTCCGTTCATTTTCATGCATGTTGAAAATGAAACCTAAACTACCTACAGAGCATTTTTATTATTTACTGCAATGATTTGTGGCAATATAGAAAGTAGACCTAGGAGGGCTAAGGGGAATGGTGGAAATGGGGAAGGGATTACTCCTTTACATTCTTGCACAAGTACTGTTTTCTGTCTTAATGTCAGAATCCACTGTGGGGGAGAAAGAAATCTCCATTTCCATGTATGCCCCGTGCCACAAACAAACAATTGTGTTTTCCTGCTTGAAGTAAAGCACTAAATACTCTTACACTGCTCTTGTGGTTTGTTTGTGGGTTTCTTTTCCCCCAGGACAAGGCCAGCAGCATCCCTTCGGTGGTAATAGAGCCAGCATCAAACAACGAGGGGGAGGGGGAAGAACACGAAGTGGTCACGAACGAGTCCAAAGATGCTGCAGCAGAGCCGGGCACTCAGGGCACTGACACTGCTCCCAGTGAAACTTCCCAAGATGGAAGTAAGCAGAAACCCACTGAAGAAATCCAGGCTGCACCTTCTCAAGATCAGCCTGTTCCAGCAGAAGACGCAGCTGCTGCGATGCCACCCGGCTTTCTCTTTAAGGTTTGCTTCTTCATTCTTCTTTTAGGCATCAGATCTAGCTTCTGGGGATGTGTCTGTCTGGGCAGGCAGTGGGATGATTTCTTGAAGCCAAAGGATGCTTAGTTTAACACAAATACCCCTAAACACAACTTTAACATTGTGTTGTTGCTTCATATGTGAAGTCAGAGAAGATGCATTTCCTGCACACCGTCCTCGCTGTGCGTATCCTCCTGTAGCTGTAACACTCACTGAAGTACAAGAACCCCTTTGTCTCGCCAAATTACTACTGAAAATTAATATATTGAGCAAAACTGCGCTGCACAGGGTTAGCCAGCAATATTGTATATTATATGCTAACCATATATCTGATATACTAACAATATATTTGATGTTTAAGGTCCCTTTCCAACCCAAACCATTCTATGAGTATTAAAAAGTGGCATTTTTCTGGCCTGAAAATCTACAGTGGAAGTTTTGGTTCTATTGAAACCCATGGGACTTCTACAATTCACATAAATGAGGCTAAAATGTTATTCTGTGACACCACATCCATGGGGAAATGAGTGGAATTACACTAGCAAGAAAGTACAGGAGGGGAGTGGTGGATGAAGCCCAGCTTGGTGCTGGCACAGTGCGAGATGCTGTGTTGCTTCCCTGGCCTTGGCTGGTCCCTCCCAGCAAGTCTGGTCCAAGAAGAAACATGCAAGAAATTCCTCACTGTCCTGTGAGCCCCCAGGCTAAGTCTTCGACATCTTTCCCTTTATTTTTCTAATATCACTTGTCCTTAAGAAGTTGAGGTCTCTTCTCTGGTGAGTTTGACACTGTGTTCTGTTTAAAATAGCAGTACTACTGTATGCAGAAGAGCTGCTATGAGAGATGAAGCTATTTGCTAAGCTGCTATCTGGCCTCCAGTGGAGGGTGGTCCCTTAGATACTGTAACTTGCATAACAAATTCTTCACTAGTACCCCAAAAGTCTTCCAAGACTTTGAAAGCAACTGATGTATTCCCCAAAGCATAATGATCAGTTCCTCTTGACATTATATTAGCAAGCTTAGCTGCGATTATGACCAACTGTCTTAAAAATTACCCAGTCCCCTTCTAAATCCAGCCACCGGGCAAGATTTTCAGGTCTGGAAAACTGGCATAGCTCCGGGAGCAACTCTGGCAGCCCCCCAGCACCAGGCTCAGTAGCCCTTCTCCTCTCCCCTCTCTCTCATTAACAGCTGTGTTAATGAGAGGAGAGTGCAATCATGTGAATTGGCTGCATCCCGGGTAAAGGAGCTTTCACTTCTCCTGCAATTAAAGCAATCAAGTGGTTCCTCTATCACAGCCCTCGTTATACTGGATGACCCTTTCTTCGTCCCCTGTGTGGCTGGTGTAATGGGACAACTGTCCAAATGTCAGTAATACTGCTAGAGATAGCTAATTTGGAATATTATGAGGCTGTCTAATATTAATGATGACATTAGGCTCTCTAATATTACTGATATATTTGTGGAAAAGAGGTTTGTAGGACTGGTTTTGCATATGAAATAAGGTAATACAGGTAACTGTATCTGCAAGGGGTTCACTGTATGGATTCAGTCGGATGAGCCTTCCTCTTTTTTTTTTTTCTTTTCTGCATTACTCAAATATATTTGAGGCTGATAGTGAGGTTCATTCTGTGCTGCCTCACACGTGTTTTTGTAAAAGCCTTTTTTTAATCATCGAGCTTACATTGGTTTTGTGCTCTGAGACACGAGAACAAATGGTTGTGCAATTGTGAGCTGCACTATTACAGGGAGCGACCCACGGCTACAGCTGCCAGAGTCACCCTTTCTCTGTGGGGCACCAGAAAGCTGATTCGTGTAAATTAGCATTCTCCTCCTTGCTGAAATAAAATGGGCTATACAAATCCAATCAAGAGAAAACAAGCGTTGATCCTAATCACAGCAGACAGACAGATCAATTTTGGCAGCGTGCTGTTAGACGCGCGTGGTATAAAATCAATCCGGTTCGCACACTGTCCCCCCTCTTTCTACCAGCCTCTTCTGGGGCTTTTACACTCAGCATTTATTTGGGCATCTTCTTGGGTCAAGGCTGCTAAAATTGGCAATAGGGTGAGTGACAGGCTTGTGTGCCTTACAAGTCACAGGAGAAGATGTCAACATCTGTCCATGTCCTTTGACGTTACATCTTTTTTTTACAGTGGGGCATCCTTCATCAGCAGCATTTGCAAATTAAACTGAAGTTTCTCCCCCGATTTCTACAACACCCCACAGTATTTTCTCCCTTCAAGGACTCCGGGAGAATTTCTTTATTGTCACCTCAGTTAATAGCAGCGACTAGGAGTAGTGCTGAATATTAGATATTGCTGAAAAACACTGCCTGGAAAACAGCCATGAAGAATTGCAGGTGGTTCAGGTTGGGTTCAGGCAGCTCAGTTAGCCTCATCCGCAGAGGAAAGATCAAACTGAGGAAACAAAGAGCATCAGGCTGTTAACTGGGGAGCAGAGATATCTCTGCCAACTTGACGTTAGAAAGACAAGAAAACAGTTTTTCTTCAGTCTTTTTACTTTATTGTGGCGCTATCTGCCATAAAGTTCTGTGTTGAAGTTAATTGGATTAACAAGAATGAGTTTTTCATTTACCTTCCACCCTCCAGCCCTTAGGCTGTGAGGATGTATCCAGTGTGCTACTGTGAGCACACACCAGTATACACCAGTACAAATATTAGGGTGATACCTGAATTACAACAGTCTCTGCTGGATGAAAGATTCAACCTTGTTCTATAGGCAGGTAATTTTCTATCCACCTTTCAAGAGCTGGAACAAAACATGTCTTAACTTGTCTACATGGACTGATGACAAATGGTTCAGTCATATCCAGACTGGATGGGCTTTTATGAATATTTCTTTTTTTTTTTATATATACTGACCTAGCTATAGATCTTTACGGTTATGTGTTCTGGTTGTTTTTTTTTTTCTGATAACAGGTGGAATCTGAAGATTTCTGATCTTTATCCAGCTGTAGAACCTATTTGCTTCTGCTGATATAGCCTGATTTGCAATTCTATTAGAAAGGAGTCTGTAATTAAGGCAGTGTTTTTGAAGCCAGCCCAGGTCTAGAGGTAGGTGACGGTAGCAGGAGAAAGGCCTTACAGTAGCAGGGTCCTTTGGACCCCTGAACAGCTTGCAAGCTCCTCCTCTTCAGCAGAAACTGTGGAGAATTTCTTCCACAATGCAGCTGGGATGCAAGAGGAGGAAAAAATACTAGAGCCCTGGCAAACTGTCACTGCAGCAGTGACACCTGAGGACTCTACTAAGCGGTGCCCAGTGAGGTTTCACGAATGTCTCTCTCCCACCTGTTAATCACCTTCCCTGCATGAGCTTTCCCACCCCAAAATCAGGAGGAACCTCAGTGAAACCAAGGCCATGGGTTGGCACCACCCAGAGGTTGGTTTTGTGGTCTCTCCAGCAGATATCCTGAACTCCTGTCCCTCCTGTTGTTTGTAGGTGGTACCTGTCACGGAGGCGGCTGCGGCAGCAGAGGATGTGACAGCAGGAGCTGGGAACGGCACCGCCACCACCCAGCAGGAGGGTGTTGCTGAAGGTGACAGAGCTCAGGGAGAAGAAAAGGAGGCTGATGTTGCTCAGGTGACTCCCGTTGGTGCGCCGTAGGGTGTGTTAGGGGAACTGGGACAGATTCAGCAGCCCGAGAGAGGCGAGGCTGCTGCAGCTCCGTGCCCCCGGGTGCCACCAGCAGCAAGGCTGAAGCTCTCCTGGGAGGGACACACACAGAGCTTCTCTCCTCCTGAGTCCTTGATTTGGGTTGCTCCTGCCTTTGTGCCCCTGTGCTCCCTTGGGCATGCGGAGATGGGACTTAATAGGCTGGTGGCTCCTGTGATGGGCCAGGGAGCAGCATGGGCAGGGTGTTGTTTGGGCTGTTGTCCCTCTGTGCTCCTCTGTGGAGACAAGCTTCAGCATACAACCTAACAGGGCTTTCTGGAGAAACAGGCAGAAAAAGTAATGGATTTTTCTTGTGTCATGGCACCGTGTCCTATCCAACAGCATTACTTTGTTTTATATAAATCACAGAATCACCATGGTTGGAAGGGACCTCTGAGATCATCAAGTCGAACCTCAAAAAAATCCAAACCAAAACAAATACAACAAAAAAAACCCCCACAACACCCCACCACATCGCACCCAGCCACAAACCAATAATCTTAGGCACTAGAGCATGCCCTGAAGTGCCACGTCTACACATTTCCTAAATCCCTCCAGGGATGGTGACTCCACCACCTCCCGGGGCAGGCTGTTCCAGGGCCTGACCACCCTCTCAGGAAAGTAATTCTTCCTCAGATCTAATCTAATTCATCCCCTTTATATCACTATTATGCTGCTGACTTGAACTCCCAAAGCAATGTGACTCCTGGAACCTGTGGCCTTAGCCAAACCCATTTACAGAGCAGGGTGGAGGGGAAAGGTCCGTTCATTTTCATGCATGTTGAAAATGAAACCTAAACTACCTACAGAGCATTTTTATTATTTACTGCAATGATTTGTGGCAATATAGAAAGTAGACCTAGGAGGGCTAAGGGGAATGGTGGAAATGGGGAAGGGATTACTCCTTTACATTCTTGCACAAGTACTGTTTTCTGTCTTAATGTCAGAATCCACTGTGGGGGAGAAAGAAATCTCCATTTCCATGTATGCCCCGTGCCACAAACAAACAATTGTGTTTTCCTGCTTGAAGTAAAGCACTAAATACTCTTACACTGCTCTTGTGGTTTGTTTGTGGGTTTCTTTTCCCCCAGGACAAGGCCAGCAGCATCCCTTCGGTGGTAATAGAGCCAGCATCAAACAACGAGGGGGAGGGAGAAGAACATGAAGTTGTCACGAACGAGTCCAAAGATGCTGCAGCAGAGCCGGGCACTCAGGGCACTGACACTGCTCCCAGTGAAACTTCCCAAGATGGAAGTAAGCAGAAACCCACTGAAGAAATCCAGGCTGCACCTTCTCAAGATCAGCCTGTTCCAGCAGAAGACGCAGCTGCTGCGATGCCACCCGGCTTTCTCTTTAAGGTTTGCTTCTTCATTCTTCTTTTAGGCATCAGATCTAGCTTCTGGGGATGTGTCTGTCTGTGCAGGCTGTGGGATGATTTCCTGAGGCCAAAGGATGCTTAGTTTAACACAAATACCCCTAAACACAACTTTAACATTGTGTTGTTGCTTCATATGTGAAGTCAGAGAAGATGCATTTCCTGCACACCGTCCTCGCTGTGCGTATCCTCCTGTAGCTGTAACACTCACTGAAGTACAAGAACCCCTTTGTCTCGCCAAATTACTACTGAAAATTAATATATTGAGCAAAACTGCACTGCCACAGGGTTAGCCAGCAATATTGTGTATTATATGCTAACATACTGAAAATTAATATATTGAGCAAAACTGCGCTGCACAGGGTTAGCCAGCAATATTGTATATTATATGCTAACCATATATCTGATATACTAACAATATATTTGATGTTTAAGGTCCCTTTCCAACCCAAACCATTCTATGAGTATTAAAAAGTGGCATTTTTCTGGCCTGAAAATCTACAGTGGAAGTTTTGGTTCTATTGAAACCCATGGGACTTCTACAATTCACATAAATGAGGCTAAAATGTCATTCTGTGACTTCAGTAATATTATAAACTGTTAGGGCAATCAAACAGAAAAGTTTAATGAGAAATAAGAGAAATCCTCTCCTTGGCTGGCAAGACCCATAGGGTTTCCTGGTTCGCAAGGTTCTTTGATGATGCTTCTCACTTCAGAATCACTGAGCAGCAGGAAAGCTCCTTGAGGATGGATGAACTTTACATGCTTCCTATTCTAATTTGCATAGTTCAGACTAATTAGTCCCATAGCACCCCTTAAGTATGCCATTCTTCTTGGCCTGTTCTTATTGCTCAATGTTTTCAGCAAACCTTGAGAATAATATTAAGGTGAGGGTGAAGAGTATTGAGCAACTATGACTCAGAGATGCCGACATAGTTCATCTTCTGTTTTTCATCACATTCTCTTAGGTCAGACATAAGTAAAGAGAAGCTGATGTTCTTGATGCCATTTTTTCTTTCATTATTGCAGAGTTACCATGGAACTGGCTGTGCTTTGAGAAAATTAGAATAACACCTCTTAAGGAAGTAGAACTGTTTAGTTATAATGACCCATACACAATGACGTGCTGATCCTGCCAATGCTCTAATAATCACCTCTTTGAAAGACAGATATTTTTGGCATACCCATCTGCCAGTAAATGGGGGCTCTTTGCAGGGTGAACATTAGGTAGGGTTCCCATTACTCACCTCTTTGATCACCTGTTGAAATGGGTAATTTATGTCCCACTCAAATTTCCACGGATGTTTACAGCAAGAATATAATATCCAGTGACCACAACAAGAGAATGAGAGAGAGTCTGAAATACCAGTTCTTGTGAGTTTTTCCCAATTCTGTGTGCAAAATTCTGCCACCCCTCTCTCGGATCTGGTAATGGTAGTGGGGAATGAGAGCTAGTTCCTTACACAGAAGGAATCGGGGTGGCAGGACTTGTCTGAGAGCTGGTACTTGTGGGGTGTTGCAGTATCATCTCTCCATGAGATCTTGTGACCTTGGGAAAGAATCTTGGGTTTCCTTTGGTAGTCTGGAGACGATTTACTTAAGCTGTTCCTGCTTCCAAAGATGTGAATGGAAAACTTTGGCATGCTGTTCCTGCTTCCAAAGATGTGAATGGAAAGCTTTGGCATGAATCAATGTCATAGAACCATAGAATGGTTTGAGTTGGAAGGGACCTTAAAGATCATGGAGTTCCAACCCCCCTGCCCTGGGCAGGGACACCTCCCACCAGACCAGGTTGCTCCAAGCCCCATCCAGCCTGGCCTTGAACCCCTCCAGGGATGGGGCAGCCACAGCTTCTCTGGGCAACCTGTTCCAGTGTCTCACCACCCTCACAATAAAGAATTTCTTTCTAGTATCTAATCTAAATCTTCCCTTTTTCAATTTAAAACCATTACCCCTCATCCTATCACTCCATTCCCTGATGAAGAGTCCCTCCCCATCTCTCCTGTAGCCCCTTCAGGTACTGGGAGGCCCCTATAAATGTCAACATTAATGATTTGAATGTACCTTCTTATAGCTGTATGTTTGCATAAAGAAGACACATTATTATTTTATTCTTTTTATTCTTTTTTTTTTTTTCAATAAAGATTTAACAGAGAATTTTTTTAAGAAAATACCTCCATTTAGGTCACATCACCATGTTTGCTGTTACTTTCTGCAGGTTGAAGTTCTACACGATTTTGAGGCAGCTAACAGCGATGAGCTTAATCTAAAACGAGGAGACATTGTACTAGTAATTCCTTCTGAGACCACGGCTGATCAGGTAAAAACATGTGGTTCTTTCTTTTGTTGACGCTTTCCTTTGTCTCAGCTTTTTTCTCACAGATTATAGTTAATTGGAGTGCGTATTCAAAATGTCATTACTGTTAGAAAACGTGAAAATCATAATTTTTGTCTTTGTACTTGGTTTCATTGAGACTAAATGGCATAGTTGGCTACAGCTGAAGCCCCAGATATATTCTGCTAGCAGGATCCAACCTCAGCATATTTACTAGGGCTTTTTTTTTTATGCTATTTTCTAGTGGATTTTGTACAGGTACGAGTGCACACAGAGACTTAATCTGGAAGTTGACTTACAAATGGTACATTATGTTGCTATACATCATCTTGTCCCAATATTGCAGTAGAATTGATTACGTGGGCCCTAGGTGTTCAGAGCTTTCACACATGGATTTGGAGAAATAATAGAGAGCACAGAGACTGCACACAGATTGTGCTGGCCTATAGGCAAGGTGTAGGGAGGTGCTGCTACACGTGGGGCACGCCTCTGAAGCAAACTCTGCCTTCTGGCAGCCCAGACCTGCATCATACAACAGTTTAATTTCATTGAAGACATTTCATTTTGTTTCAACGGTGCGTTTCGAGTTGAGTTTTCAAATTCTTTTATTCCCCACCTTAAACTGAACTGCGGCGAAGTGAATTGATTTTTGGGCACTGCTTTAAAAGAGAAGACTGTGCTGCACCAGCCTCTTCGTGGGCATCTGCTGGTACCAGTAAGCACTGGTGAAAAGTCTCCCCTGGATTTAGGGTCTGAGAGATGGGGGACTGGATCCTGCCTAGTGAGGCAGCTGCGAGCACTGCCCTCAATGAAGAATATTTCTTAAAACAAGTCGAAATGCTAACACTCTAAGCACATATGAGTGCTGGGGGCTGTATTTGAAATTGGTTCAGTGGTTGATGCTGTCCAAAGGGAGGTAATAACCAGCGTTCCTCATCTCAGCTGAGCTTTATTTTAATGCAAGAGACAGGTAATTGTTTTTTGTGTTAAGTTTTTGGGTTGTTTTTTTTTTATTATTCCAGAAAAAAAGATATTTTTTTTCAACAGGGCGCTTTTCCCTTTTTATAGGGATAATTTCTGTTATCCTTACTAAAATCATGCTGCACTCTATCTCGTGGGCAGTTCAAGTAATTTTGTTACCGGTATTTTCAAAACAGGACACTGCTGTAAGGATAGCAAAATCTGCTCTCTGTCTTCAGTCTGGTTTTTCTTAGGATGTTAAGTATTAAATATGCTTTATCTTCGCTTGGTGAATCCACGAAGTATATTCTTGTCTTGTGGTGTGCATTGAAATTCCATTAGCATTAATTGGAGTAAATTGTGTGCAGTGATGGAGAAAATAAACCTTTATGTATTCATGTTTCTGAAACCATTCTGGTCATATCTTTATTACTCAGTACATATTTGCCCTTTGTGTTTAACATCACCATAAAGCTTAATCTCTTTGTCTTTTGCCAGGTACTTTGTTGATTTATATAGAGTCTTTTTATCTTTGCTACTCTATTCTCCTTCAAAATTGACCTGTCTAAACCCATAATTCTAATGTAGCTGGTACCATCAGCCTGTATTCCCAAAAAACAGTCCCACCCAGGGGCTTCAATTTTTCCATTAGTCTTGAGTTAAAGTTGTTATCCAGTGAAACTGTTAATTCCTTCATACGATCTACTCTGCCTGTGCTAGAAAGCTGTAGTTCCTCTTGCCTTCCTCTCAGATATTTCACATGCTTCAAAAACCAGTCACCCCAGTCACGTGTACCCAGGCAGTGCCATACCTAAGACATATCTGCTCTAATGAAGCTTATTTTGGGGCAAAGAGTCAGTCCACCACCAGATGCAGCCCCTCAGCAATCATGACCTGGTGGTGTATGTAATAATCCATTTGAATTACCTCCTTATGTGCTCTCTGTGCCATAATAACGTGGCAGCATTAGAAATTCCCTGGTCATTATGGCTTTGCTCTGGCTCCTCTTCTTAAAAGCACGGAGTTACCGAATTAGCGAGATGAGAACAGGTTGATAATATTTAAAAAATGCCACATTGATTTTAGAACAGGTTGATAATATTTAAAAAATGCCATGTTGATTTTATTCCAGGTAGAATTGCATCCCACCTAAGAGAACACTTCAATAAGAAAACTCTCTTTTGATTGCTTGGACTGTTGGTGATTTGTGTGCCATGGCTTTAGGTTTCCAGGGTTTTTTTGTGATTTTATTCCAGGTAGAATTGCATCCCACCTAAGAGAACACTTCAATAAGAAAACTCTCTTTTGATTGCTTGGACTGTTGGTGATTTGTGTGCCATGGCCAAGTTTTGGTTTAGGTTTCCAGGTGGTTTTTTTTTAAAAATAATTGCATATTACCTAAATTTGAGCTTCTGGATATAGAAATTCCAGAGATTGCAAGAACTGTTGTTTCTTCTGACAGCTGATACACGAACGAGAGAAAAGAACTCTCAGGAGGAAAAAAATTTGGATTCAAAACTATTTTTTCTTCCGTGTATGGTATTGTATAATGTTTCTGGCCCACTGCTGTGCTCTTAGTGTGCAAGTCTGCCAATATTATTGTGGCAACTTTGAAAAAGAGACCAACAACAGAGATTTGCACAGATGCAGATCTGGTTTAGTATTGGGTGATATGGAAGACTTGATTATCCAGTTTTGAGTTCAGCTATAGAAATAGAATAGAATATAGAATTTCCCAGGCCGGAAGGGACCTCCAAGGGTCATCTAGTCCGACCCCCCCGCAGTCAGCAGGGACACCCCCAACTAGACCAGGTTGCCCAGGGCCTCGTTGAGCCTCACCTTGAATATCTCCAGGGATGGGGCCTCAACCACCTCCCTGGGCAACCTGTTCCAGTGCTCCACCACCCTCACAGTGAAGAACCCCCTTCTAATCTCCAATCTAAATCTGTTCCCCTCCAGCTTGAAGCCATTGCCCCTCGTCCTGTCACTACAGGCCTTTCTAAACAGGTTCTCCCCAGCCTTCCTGTAGGCTCCCTTCAGGTACTGGAAGGCTGCTATTAGGTCTCCCCAGAGCCTCTTCTCCAGGCTGAACAACCCCTGCTCCCTCAGCCTGTCCTCGTAGCAGAGGTGCTCCATCCCCCTGATCATCCTTGTGGCCCTCCTCTGGACCCTCTCCATCAGGTCTATATCCTTCTTATATTGAGGGCTCCAGACCTGCACACAATACTCCAGGTGAGGTCTCACCAGAGCAGAGTAAAGCTAGGGGTTGGATGGGCTAAAGGCCATACAGTCTCACAAAACTGTGGCCTGGCAGAACAGAGAAAACCATCTGTGCAAAATCAGAGACTGCTCTTTAACTGAAGGACCAAATCTAGGGGGGGGAGACCCGAAGATTAAAGAGGTTCTGTCTTTTTCCTTGCAGGAGGCTGGCTGGTTGACAGGCATTAAGGAATGGGAGTGGCTTCAGTACAGAGATGCAAACACTTACAAAGGACTTTTCCCAGAGAACTTCACGCGCCACCTGGAGTAGTTCTCCTCTCAGGCAGCCGAACGCGGTACGAAGCTCAGCCCAGTAGGTTTTTAACCTCTTTGAAACACAGGAGCTCACCTTTTTGTAGTTTAAGCTGTTAATGGTTTACAGACTGGTGCCAGACAAAGCTTGTTGAAACATATCAAAATGAGCATGAATGCAAACAGTTAAGCTAGCGATTTCTGAAGCAGTACGTGAAAAAAAAAAAAAACAAAAAAAAAATTTCAAATAAAAAAAGAAATGTCCTTATTTGTTCACACGTATGTGGCAACAGGTTTGTTTGTGCTTTGTCAGAGCTATGGTGATCCTGTATTTGGTCCTTCCCCATGAAATCTGAAATTAGCCTCCTCAATACCAAAACCTTAACTTCTCTGCACTAAGTGTATTGTATTGAGTTGCACTGCAGAAGATTGAATTAGTTATCCTGTAGTAATGAGGTCAAACTATTATAAGTTTCATGTGTTAAAAAAAAGAAAATAATTAACTGCTGCAACGTTTTTCAATGTTATTTTTGGACATGCATAAGATATATATACACACACAGGAATTTCTATGTGTGTATATAAGTGCATATGGATATATATGCATTTTCACGACTCCATGGTAGTTCTCTGACTGTGTAGTACCATCAGTACATGCATTGCTCTTTCACTGTCTGGCATTACAGGAAACGGTTTTGTTCCAAAGCAAAACTAGCTGCTCCATTGCCAAAACATGATTCCAGTATCTGTGTTTGTAATGTGAAATTTTCATTCTGAGATGATGAATAACATCATGTTCAAAGCTGCTAAACCTTTGAGAAGGCATGGCTCGGTCTCCTCTCCCAGCTGCAGTAGTTACAATGAGATAATCTGGAGGGGGAGCTGTTATGATGCTAATCTATACTTTTTTATTTAATTGGCTGAATAAATTTAAAAAAAAAAAAGAAACAGAACTAATCTCTGAAGAAGAAATAAACACAATATATTTTCACTATATGTATTTATGCAGCATACCTTCACAGATCCTTTTAAAATAAGATATATAATGTATCCTGTATCAAAAAGTCATCTGTAACTTATGTTTTCCAGTGCTGTGTCATTAAAAATAAACCTTTGATCCAAAGAAGATGGTTCATCTGTGCTGCTTTTGAAGTTTCGCAACGCTGAAGTTCATGTGGTTTATAAGTTGTATTAGAGAATCTAATCTTAATTTAATATCTCTTTTTCCAAAGAAGCACAGCATAACAGGCACACCAGCTAAGGTCTTGCTCTCAACCCTAGAGGTGGCTGGAGCTCCAAAAGGTCCAAAAGGTCATCTCCTAGCCTGCTCCTCCAGTTCCAGACTGACCACAAGCTAATAGCTGTCCGCAAGCACCAAGGGAGCTTGGCTGTGCTTGACCTTCACTCAGCTGGAGATTGCTACCTCTCAGTCATTTTTCACTTGTGTGGAAAGAAAAGTTCTCCATGAGCCTGCTGCGTTGTGTTTGCTGGCGCATGGAAGTTGTAAATATTTAGGAACATCTATATTTTCCTAATGATTCAACTATTTCTCACAATGTTTTGCTTAGGGGCTCGTTTTGTGTGCAAATAATATCTGTTTCCACTCTGTTTCTAATTTGTCAGATGTCAGTTGAGGAAACAGATGAGGAGAATTTTTAATGTTATATTCTTAAAATCCCTTGCAGATTTCCATATGCTAAGATGATGGATGTTGAAGGAAGAACATTAATCAGTTAGCCAGAATGGTAATTTTCCTAATTTTCCCTTCTAACAGAAGGAGTTAATGAATAGAAATGTATTTATCATTTGAGGTTAACAACTCTTTCTTGTATTTGATCTCTTCTTACTCTATTTTTGTTAGACAATCATTTAACTCTCAGACACTTATGTCTTGTATTTGATCTCTTCTTACTCTATTTTCGTTAGACAACCTCTCAGATACTTTTATATCTGCAGGTCCTGAGATGAATCGTATAAAGTAAGTTCTCTGTGGTGCAGGTCCTGAGATGAATCGTATAAAGTAAATTCTGTGTCTGCAGAAGCTTATTCCAGGACAAGCAAGGGACATTCTCTCCAGTAGGTACTGTTGTTACATACCAGTGATACCTTCCCCCCTGGAGTTACATTAGCCCAGAATTATTTCTGCCTTTTGCCGAATTTTTTCTGATGAACACATCACATGGGGCTTGGCAAATGACTGAATTTCCTGCTTTCGGAGTGATTGTAAAACAACAACCCGTTGTATCTTGGTTTCTCTGAAGACTTATTTATGCCTTACACAGCACACACTACTAACCTTGTACAGCAGCCATAATTCCTAATTCTGCATAAAATAAACCCTTGAAAGGTTTAGGAACCCGGTCTCCTGATCCTGCAGGCTGATTACACATGGGAGTAAGACAAAAGAACTGAAGATGGAGGAACATCTCACGGGAGCAAATGAGTAAGTTGTGTATTTGCAGCCCATCTCTCTGGTTTACAACCTTTCGTGGATAATGAAAAAATGCATAAGCTGAATGATACTTCTGTCCCTTTCCTTCTCCTCCTCCTTCTCTCCCCACCTTGCTCCACCTCCCCCAGACCTCACATCTGGGTGCCACAAGAAGAGGGAGGGGAGGCTGGGGCGCGTGGTCCTGCTCAGATTGCGTGGCATTTGATTCCAGGATGCTCTGATTGCTGATGCCCTAATGCCAGAAAGACATGAAACAAATCACAGTCTTATTAAACTCCTGCTCCATGGAAAATTCCTGGTGTCTTGCGGACACGGGGGCAAAAGGCATCCAAAGAAAGTCACTGGGATGGGTTGGTTGGATAAATGGGGTTGTGGAAAGAACAGCCACTGGCTGTAGGAACAGTTTACAAGACTGTCCCCTCTCACACAGCTCTGTGCAGGCAGAGCACGAGCAACTGTTACAGCTGCAGCAGCCAGAAGTAGCCTCTGAAATGACACGGCTTGTTGCTTGAAGGAGAATATCAGATTTTATTGTTAGTTTTAAAAGCAGATTTCAAAGGTCTGTCTTTCTGTATTTAAAACACTAAGGTGACAGTTGATGAAAGGCCACCTGATAAGCCAGTTCCTGAGCTACAGAAAGTAGTTAGTGCAATTAATTAGGCACGGTCACATTTCTGAAAGCAGCTCAAAAGAGCAGGAGGGTGTTTTTTCTACCCAGCTGTGCTCATCGGTGTCACCGATGCGCTCTCTGGTGGAGAGACATCTGCTGCAGACAAGGGGACTGCAAAGGGCTTGAGAGAAGGGTCAGGGATGCTACCCAGCAGCCCCTTTGCTGCTCTTTTTAATTCCAGCTCTTTCTGGAGTAAAGAAATTCTGTTTAACTGGGAAGATGAATTTTAGGAAGTGGCATGTTCTCAGTCTGGGTTCGGAATTAGAGACGGTGGAGTGAGCTGTCTTTTTGGACCCAGTGTCACTCTAGATGAGTAGATGTATGGTGAGACAGGAATCTTTAAAAAGTGACTTTCTCAGATCTTTACCCATGTGATTTCAGCTCTGATGCTTGCTTTGTGTGTGCCGTGTCTCTGGCAGCATTTCGGACACGTCTGTGTTTGTCTTGTGTGGATGTCTTCACTCTGACTTGCTTGATCAGGGGAGAAGCATCATAGGAGGAAAACTGCAGCACTTTCCAGGTGGTGTCTCCAGTAACCGATAGGAAGACCTCATAATTAGTGTTAATTTGGCAAAGCTGAAATCACTTCAAAGGGAATTGTGCTGCCTCTTCAGATGCTTGGTAGCAGTTAAAGGAAACTTTAGAGAAAGAAAACACCCAGGCAGCAGTAGAAGTTACCACTCTGTGTGTAGACAGGACTTCTGCCCAGCCACAGGCACCAAATGTGATGCAGAGAATAATGAAGCAGCAGGGAGCCACCAGAAAGGGAATCTTCAGGAGTCAGTGAGACCCATGTCTGCTGACGAGGGTCAAGAGACGCGAAAGTCCTATCTGTCTTCAAGCTGGTTTCAGAGGAGAAAGCAAGCTGGGGTCTCTTTTGGTGCCACCAGAGCTTTGGTGCCAGCCAGGCTAACCCCAGGCCACTCATAGTGCCTCTATATTTGCCTAGACAGACTGCAGGTTATCATGGGACCAAGAGCATCAAAACACTGGAAAGGTAAGCAGTTATATACTTAAATTATTGCATTTCCAAAGTATGTGTAACAAAGGAGAAGGTAAATACACTCCAGGCTTCCTAGACTTCATTTATTTCAGCTTATTATTCATAAGAAAGCCAAATTCTCCATATATGTTTTAAAATGTAAACACATTGAGCTGCGATGGAAGGAAGAACCTGGCTGTGTGTCAGTGAATGAAGAAAACGTGTCATTTTGAGGAATAAACAGTGCAGGTTAAGGCAAAATTGCCAAATGAGAAGGTCATATAAAAGTTTCTCTCTCAGTGGCTAAAATCTGAGCGACTCCATACCTGACACGGTGCTGTGGCTCCCAAGGCCTCGTAGAGATGTAAATGAAGGTGGAAATGAGAAGGTCATATAAAAGTTTCTCTCTCAGTGGCTAAAATCTGAGCGACTCCATACCTGACACGGTGCTGTGGCTCCCAAGGCCTCGTAGAGATGTAAATGAAAGTGCAACTTGTCCATAGTCGTTGGCAGGGATTCAAAACACCCTATTTTAAGGCTATAAGGTGTTTTACAGGGGAGGCTGTATAAATGCTGAGGATCTTTGGGTGTCTCCTAGACCAAGAACGGGCATCACACAGTTGTCCACCTGCAGAGTAATTATGAAAATAAAAGTGGCCGATGCACAAGTGTTTTGCTTAAAAGTTTCCAGAGTAATGTGGGAATTCTCAGCACCTGCCCACACCTGTGGGGCTGCTGTAGAGGTGCATAGCACCCACACAGCTGCTCCAAGGGCACCTGAGGGTTTTACTCCTTTATGCCCAGCAGAGGGTGGGAGGTGCTGGAATTTTTACATTTACCAAATCGGCGCTGTCATTTGGATTGATCTCCAGCTCTGAGTTTATTGCATTCATATCTCTTATTGCCTGGCTCATACCTGCAAACTCACGGGGCACATTCAGTGCCAGAACAGCAGCAAAACCAGTTTTCTGTCTGCAGTAACCAGCTACTTCCACCTGCAGGCAAACGGAGAGAGGAAAGTACGTTATGGAGCTGCACCCTGAGTTATTACAGTGACATATCCCTGCATCTCATACACATTAAACCCAGAGTGGCTACGCAGGGGAAAATCCCCACCAGGTAACAAGATGCTCAGCTGATTCCATTCAAAGAGACACTGCTGGGCTAAGAGGACAAAATAATTTTAAATGCCACCTCTCCTTCAAATAATTTTATAGTCTACCTGTGTTTAAACAAATTGCTAAATTATTAACTGGAGCTGGGGGATGGGGGAGGGGATATTTTGAAAGAAAGCTCTAAAAAGGCTTTATTTTCTAGCTTCTTTGCACTACTTTGGCCTTATAAATCCAGTCTCTCTTGTCGTTTTCTTACTCGTCTCCTCCTTATAAATCCAGTTTCTCTTGTCGTTTTCTTACTTGTCTCCTCCTCTCTGCCTCTCTCTGTTCACCTGCCCACGGTTTGCTCTGGTTGCACTGAGATGACTGCCTCTCTCTGTTCACCTGCCCACGGTTTGCCCTGGTTGCACTGAGATGACTTGAAAACCTGCTTGACTTGTGGTCCGTAGGTGTTAGCAGTGTTTGACTTCCATCCAAAACAGCACCCATAAATGAGTGTTTGGTGTCTTTTAATGTCAGAGTGACCCATAAATGAGTGTTTGGTGTCTTTTAACATCGGAGTGCTCCAGACCAGCAAGCCAGTCCCTTGCAGAGAAGTCAGTCCTTGGTTGCCTGACACTGGGCTCTGGAGGCTCCAAAAATACTGCCCAAGCCACCTCTCCCCTCAATGGAGTCCTCGAACCATTGAAGGAGGTAGAGAGCGGAGACACATAGAGATAACCCCAGTAAGTCAAATATTCCACCATTTTCCTCTACTGCCTGCTCAGCTTAGGTCTGGGAAATAGCACACAAACTCATAGTATTCCTACCTTTTGGTTTGACCCTTTTCTGAGAGGTCTAGGGGTGAAAAAAATGTACTTCCAGGAAATGTGAGGTGAGGGTTCCTAGGCAGGTCTGCTCACTG